CACTTTATATTAATGACTTAGTTACCATATTTGATAGCTGCTGTGATCCTACCATATTAAATGATAAAAATGTATCTTTCTTGTTACTAGAATATGCAGATGACCTTGTATTATTATCTGAATCAGAGTCTGGGTTACAACGATGTTTAGACAACTCAACACGTAATTTAACTTTAAATCTAAACAAAACTAATGTTATCATTTTTAATAAGTCAGGCAAAGTTCTAAAAAAAATTACAACTTTTAATTCAATGAACAACCAGTTGATTTGACAAATGAATATAAATGTTTGTGAATTTTATTTACGCTTTCGGGAATTTTCTCTTATGTAGTTAATCGTCTGTGTAAAAAAGCTTCAAAGGCAATGTTTTGCATCAGAAAGCTTTTATTCTCTGATAAACTTAATATTTATCCACATCTAAAACTGCTTGAAAGTTGTTTAAAACCTATACTATTTTATTGCAGTAAAATATGGGCACTTGATATGATAGTTAAAGACAATTCAAGTCTTTAATGTAGATATTTATCATGTTTGCCTTCAACATTTCAAATTACATTTGCTAAATATCTTGTTGGTGTAAATAAATCTGCAGTTAACACAGCAGTTTTAGCAGAAATATGTATGTTACCTATTGCTATTGATGCTGTAAAGGCTTCTGTGGGGTTTTGGTGTCATTTGATAAATGCAAAAGAAGAAAGTTATGCTTCAAATGCCTATAAATGTAGTTTAAATTTACATAATGGTTTTGCAACCAAATTGAAATATGCTCTTTCAAAAAAAGGGTTCAATCATGTATGGGAAAATCAAAATACTTTCTCAAAAATGACTGATTAATGCTGTAGGGAACAAATTAGCTGAAAGATGTTTAGATTTTGGAAAAAACAGTCTTTTTAATGACCAAAATAACCCTAATGGTAACAAACCAAGAATGTACAGAAAATTAAAAAAAAATACAAATTAGAAAAATTTGTATTAATAGATTTAGACAGATACATGATATCTTATTTTATTAAGATAAGATTAAGTTATAGCAATCTAAATATTGAACAGGGTAGGCACCGTGAATTACCCATTGAAAAAAGATTATGTCCCCTTTGTAAAAAGGGGTTGAAGATGAGTATCAGTTTGCTTTAAAATGTCAAATTCTAAAAAAACACAGGCAAACACTTTTTCAGGTAGTAGAGGGTATCTTTCAACAAAATGACTGATGTGGAAAAATTTACATTTATGTTTACATTTAATGAGTATGACAACTAAAACTATTGTTAAAGGGGTTAATGATTTATATGTACTAAAAAATCGCCTAGCTGACAAGAAAAACTAATTATGTAATACAAATTTGTGTGATTATTTTTCTATTTTTCTTTTTTTATTACATATATATTTGTTTTGTTATATTTAATAACAATATCATTAATACTGTAATTTTACTTTCACTATTGCAAAAGTATCACCTCCTCCAAAATAATTAAATATATAAATATATGATTTACTAATATAATATCAATGTTGTTTAACTTTAATTATTGTATGTTTGTAAATATTGTCATGTTTGTCTTGGTAACAATCCAATATTTGGATTTTACACCATTAAAATTGATTTGATTTGATTTGATTTGATTTATTACGAGTCGACTGTCGATTACAGCTATGTTGACATATTTGTAGATCTTGTCTTGTCATGCTGATCATCATTTTGCTGGTTAAAGAGTCTCTTTATTTTTTTTATAATTTTAAAGATAATAGGCAAAAATGAGGAAAAAAAATTTGATAGTCATTCATAGGTAGTAACTCCTTTAACGAGTCGTATGACAATTTTTATTTTACAAAATGTATGGTAGGTAGATCTTGATATTCTTGACTTTTTCTGCCCATGTCAGATTTTCTATATCTGTAACAGTTGTCAAGACAATAGACAAAGTAGTATATTCTGACAAAAATTCAGGACACTCAAAATGTTGTCTCATTATGGTAATGGAATTAATCATTGTTCACTCAAGCTGTATTAAAAAATACCATAAAAAGTAAATTTAGTCTGATAATGGCAATAGAATAAATAAGTATTGGCTTATGGCTGATATTGATTAATTTTTTAAGCTCAGTTTTAATTTCTTGAGTTCCGATGTTCCGATGTTTCTTTTGCTTTGAAAACCTTGATATGAGCGTCGACTTAAACACTTAAGACTATAATTTTAGGCTTCCTAAAGGAATTTTATATTGGTGTACACCAATTTGCATAAAAACTGCATAAACACAACATAAAGGAAGACGGGTAGTATCCAAGAACCAACCAATAGGACAATATTTTGTGATTACAAATCAAAACACGGACGAAATTGGTATTATAGGCGAATAGTTTTAAACCCAATAAAAAATTGTGAAATATCAAAGGCAGATAATTATAGAATTTTTGAAAATGAAACTTATTTTTTTTCATTAAATACCTACCCTGTGAAATGCAAATATTTTTTTCTTATTTAAAGGTGGAGTATGGGAATATTAACTTGTTATTTATCATTTACATATATGCTTCTCACCATGAAACAATGACTAAAGGCATACGGAGTATCATCAAGAATGTACATCTCATCAGCTATCGTGATATTTACATTTTCCAGATCTTCATCCCGGACGGCTTCTATTACAAGACCTACCTATCGTAGCTTTTGTTAATTTGTTCTCGTCCTGAACGTGCATACAATATTTGCCACTAAACGTCACTGAAGCAACCTACTTAAGGTACCACGATACCAAATGGCATCTCCCGATTTCTAAAATGTTTTGCAAACTTGTCCTTTGATTCGAGTTACATCGGAATATGAAAAAAAAAATTGGTCACCATTTCTGTGTTTTTGTAATTTTCATAAGAAAACGTCAATTTGACAAATCTACATAGATATATGGTGAAAGTGCCGTGTTTTTTACTTATTTTTTTTTAATTTTTGTTTAGATGGCTGTTCTAATATACGGAGAAAGACTAAAAACTAACATAATATCCAGGATTGTATACATAATCCGGGATCCATGCCTGTATAGAAACACATATGTCACCATCCTTGTTTTGTTTCGATAAATGGCTTCAAAGTTGACCGATACGCTTAGAATTTGACAGAAAATGTGTGACGTTTCTGAATACAGAATAACTAACGTGTTTTTTACTCAGAGGTATTGACAAAAATATGTAACAGGATCTGAATGTTGTTTGTTATTCTATTTTCATTTCTCCTGTCACTCACAGCAAGAATGAAGCGTCAGTTACATCAAAGACGATTTGTCAGATTAGAATCAAGTTCTGAACAACGAAAACATAGTTTCTTCGTAAGAACCATCACAAACTGGAATGAACTACCTCCTAGCCTATAATAATTGGACATTGATGACTATGAGGCATTCAAGACCCACAGATGGCCGCCGTTCAACACACAAATGTTTTTATCTGTAATGGCACCTGTATATATGTTAAACACCTGTACATATGATTTTAAAAGAGCAAATAAATTTTGGATGACACCACAACTTTAATTCAGAAAATCAGAAAACATCTTACAAATAATAATATATTAAATGACAGTCAACATGGGTTTAGGAGTAAAAGGTCTTGCGAGACCCAACTCATTTTCAGTATACAAGACCTAGCAAATTCATTGGCAAATGTTAATCAAATAGATGTTATACTTTTAGATTTTTCTAAAGCATTTGATAAAGTCCCCCATCAAAGATTAGCTCAAAAATTAGATTTTTACAGTATTAGGAATCAAAACTTAAATTGGATAAATGATTTTTTAGCTGACAGGCAACAGCAGGTACTCTTAAATGGTGTTAAAACTTCTAAATTAGCTGTTGACTCTGGTGTCCCTCAGGGGACAGTATTAGGCCCAACATTATCTTTGTTATTTATTAATGACTTACCAGAACATGTAACTTGCAATGCAAGACTTTTTGCAGATGACTGCTTATTGTATAGAAATGTTGATAATTCTGTTGCACAATTACTTCAAAAAGATTTATCTAGTTTAGTACAATGGGAAGAGGACTGGCAAATGAATTTCAATCCTGAAAAGTGTTACGTAATACATATCTCTAAAAAAAAATAACCCTTCCGCTTTTGATTATACATCGCACAATCATGTTTTAGAATCAGTAAAAGGCAGTAAATATTTAGGCGTAACTATAAGCCATGATCTTGACTGGGGAACACACATAAACAATATTACCTGTAAGGCAAATAAAACCTTAGGTTTTCTTCGTAGAAACTTAAAAAACTGCACACGTAAGGTTAAAAACCTTACGTACACATCACTTGTCCGTCCAGTCGTCGAATACTCTTCCCCTGTCTGAGATCCATACAAAAAGCAACACATCACTCAGGTTGAGCAAATTCAGCGTAAGGCAGTCAGATTTGTCTATAACGATTATAAAGACAAAACACCTGGAGCAGTCTCCAACTTGATAAATTCTTTGGAATGGGAAAGTATACAAATTAGAAGAAAAAAGGCTAGATTAACTATTCTATATAAAATTAATTGGGGGTTAGTTGAAGTTCCAAAGGGCAATTTAACAATATCTGATAGACGTACTAGGGGGAAACATAAATTTAGGCAAATAGCAACCAATAAAGATTTCTACAAATTTTCTTTCTACCCTCACACTATTTCTGATTGGAATTCACTACCTGAAGCAATAGGTATGTCTGACACCCTGACCCTGGAATCCTTCAAAAGTGGCATATCCACTCTAACATTTGAAGGCCCCACAACAACTTATTAAACTACCAAGCCACTGTACATAATGTATATATGTTATTGTAAACTATTTTTCTTTATTATATTAATTTTAATTAGGTCCATATGTACATAGCTCAAGTTCCGGGAAGTTTTACACTCCTACCTAGGAGTCTACTCCCGTATTCGGAAGAAGAAGAAGAATTCAACACAGATTACGGATTTCGCATTACTGTCTCCGTCATTTGGTTCAACGTTTATGTACATTATTGCAACTTCCTGTTAATAAAATGCGTAAAATTATATTTCGCTCTTCTCTTCTTCTCTTCTCTTCTTTAGGTAGAAAACCATCAACATTTTGAAGATTACTTTCAAAGCAGAATAAACGGGAATTGGCTTGTATTTAGACGCTACTCTTGAACTTAGTGTAATAGTCAACCTAAATCCATCTTAAAAACAGAATGATTTTGTTTATACGGTTGTAAAACTCTTCAAATTCCAGTAGAAATGGGAAGTCGAGAAATAATAACATTGCAAATAGGTCATTATTCAAACTTTGTTGGAACACATTGGTGGAACATCCAGGTATAGAAAATTATTAGTAAAAACGTCATGCATTGTTCATGTAGATATGATAAATAATGGGCTATTCCAGAAATAGTCTGTCCCCCCCCTATGGAAGACATTGGAATTCCAGATTTTTTTTTCTTGATTTTTTCTAAAATTCCAAAGTAATTTTCTGTCTGGACCAAAAAATTCCAAACTTTTTGTCTGTTAGTGCACATGAAATTCCATGTATTTTCTAGAGGGACGAATAATTTCCTTACAATTTTTACTGGTAGTCATTAAGATTTGCCAGAACAGAAATATTTTGTGACCCATAATTTCCAGGTTTAAAACACAAGAGTTCTGATTAATTCCCTATGTATATGTACATTTCTGGGGAGGGGGACAAAAGTCTGATACAGCGATAGTAGTTTAGAGAGCAGGATAAATGATATTGATACTATGGAATTTCATTTTGTAGGTTGCACTTTGTAAATACAGCTGTTTCACAGACTATGCCTCTTTTGGGGGATACATTTGTATATCATATTCATAGATATTTTGTTTTGTATATGTACTCGTTCCCAGATATGATCTATATGTTTTATCTCTGACATAGAGACATAACTTGGGAATGTAACCAGAATAGGTAGATATTTATAGGTAGCGGCCAACTTGAATTCTGAGGAAGACCCAAAATGAAGGGAAAGGGGGGAGCAGTACAGAATTTTATTAGTATAAGTTCAAACTCTTAGAAGTTCTGGGCATGTAAATGTTGAAAATATGCTGCAGATCCCTATGGTTAGACTTTTGAATAAAATAGTTGTGCATATCAACAACTTTCCATTCTAGGATATAATTTTTGTTACAAAACTTCATAGTGAAAGTGGCACAGTTTGAGCTGTAAAGGGGGTTCCTATGGGAAATTACATTGTCTTTATTTACAGATTCGCAACCTACGATTTTTATCTTGAATTGTTTCATGTATACAAAACTGTTGAATGTTAATCAGGTGCAAATTTCAAAATGATTGGATTAATAGCATCTATGATTAGCATCACTCAGTGGAAAATTATATCACATGGGAAGATAAAAACAAAGAAAATTTGGTATGACAAATATTTGATGCCTTAATGACCTTTTTAAACACATCAAAAATAAATACTGACATCTGATTAGTTTCAGACTTATGATGATCAAGTAGATGATAATTTCAACCTAATTATATATTTAGAATTTAATCTGTATTTTTCACCATTAATTAACACCAATAAATTGTGCAATTCGATATCTCCTAAATTTTAGAATGAAATTTAGGGTTTGTCCTATATCATTATAAACAAATGTCAGATTTTTGGTTACTTCAGGCTAAATAGCCAGAACATTTACCAATAAACAGCTAATTGATACATCCTTTATTCAAACACACTTGTTTGTCTTCACAGCAGGAAATTGTCTAATTACCACTATATTGTAGAAGACTGACCAGAGAAATGACCAGCTGTGTACTATGACTCTACTATGGATTGCAAAATACTGTTACCGGTACACATAAATAGATTCATTTAGATTGTTATCAGAATCAGTGGCAAACTGTCTACTGACTTTTGAATTTACACACAGAAGATCCCCCCTTTTTTTTTTTAATCAATGCAAGGCAATGTGAACTTTTATAAATTGATTATTTGTGTTTAGTTTTTTATTTTCATACGAAAGCATATAACTTACTAAGATAAGAAAAATAAATATAATAAGAAATGACTGATGTTTGAAGAATTAACCTATTTTCAAAAATATTTTTATTGTGTACTGGAATGAAACTTTAGATGATATTGAATGCAATGTTCTCCTACCAATTGAATAATCTGAAAATGTATTCTCTTAACAATGATGTCTAAAATTTGACATGAGTTTTGAAATTTAAAAAGTTTATAAAAATTCATTACACAAAAAAACTGACATTCTTAAGTCATCCTGTTTTACAATTTACTATTTGTCAAGCCTGCAACTAGAATTCCCCAAGCTAGACATTGCAATCCTTCTCTCTAGTGTCATCAACATTTAAAGGAGTAGGTCCTGTAAGGGCCAATTTTGGCCTCAAATTTCAGGTACATCTGATGAAAGATTTTGGGCACTTTTTAAACTTATAACTGTCTTCTTCAGTCGATTCAATTAGTTGATGTGAAAGATTTCAACTGATTAAGTCATTAAAGACGGCAAAATTCAAGCTTATTTATATGAAAAATCTATCAAATATGCCATAAAATGTCACTTTTCAGATGTTTTTTGTCAAAAATGAAAGTGGCCGCGTTCGTGTTCATTCTCAACCCTTTATATATGTTATGTATTATCATCAAATACAACATACATCTAAATATTGAGACTGAACACAAATGCGGCCACTTCCATTTTAGACGGAAACCGTCTTAAAATTAGCTCAAATTGTAAAATTGTGAAGATTGCAGTAATTTTGCATGATTTAACGATGCTAGTACCCGATACATGTGCATTGTTTTGCCAAAAAAAAGCCCATACTTATGTAGCAGAAGTATTCTTAGCTTTTCAGTAAATAGCTGAAAGTTTACATTTTAACAATTTTGTAAAACTGCTATATTTTGGGGCCAAAAAGGGGTCTTACTGGGCCTACTTCTTTGTTTTGGGTTAATTTCTTTTTTATTTTAAGTCAATTATCTTTGTTAAATATTCATGGAATTTTGCTTAACTGACAGACGCTTCTTCTATACAAAGACAGCATCCAGAGATTATTATTCTTTTTTCAATATTTCACTGATATAATGGACTTAGTTTTTTTTGCACTAACATATATTGTTTACAAAACTTTGAAATTTTCAAAAAACTAAGGATTTTTTATTACAGGGATAGATTACCTTAGCTGTATTTGGAAAAATCTCTTTGGAATTTTGGGTCCCCAATGCTCTTCAACTTCATAATTTATTAGGCCTTTTATTAAACTTTTTGGATTCGAGCATCACTGTTTAGTCTTTTGTAGATAAAAGCCTGGTCTGGTGTTCACAATTTTAAGCCTGGTAACAATAATGTGGTTTTTTAGACTTCAAAATAACTTTGTCAAAGCATTATGGAATGATTGATGTATTGATTAAATGATTGTTGTTGATGCCACTTCAGCACTATTGTGCTATTTTGTGGCGGTCAGTTTTTATTGGGTGGAGGAAGCCATAGAGAACCATGACATTCGGTAGGTCTCTGCCTTATAGAGCGAGCACTAATCTAATAAGCAATATTTTAATTCAAAAAGACACAATTTTTTAGTTGACAAGATAAATTAAGAGTACAAATTAAACATCCAGGTATCATTTTCTGTGATTAGGGATAATTTCATAGAATTTGATCCAATACCCACACATTTTGGTGCAAATCATATCTCTGGCCTTTCATGGATACTGTGCTATGTAGCACTGTTTTGGTTTTTTCCGGAATTGTATTTATAATTAAAGGGAAACCTTCTTCAGAGACCACCCCTTTTGTTTTTGTTTTTCATTTATTTCTTTTTTATTACTGTTTAAAGTTTTAAGAAAAAATTTAATATCTTTTATTATTTATTATTATGGTAATTTTACCATGCCCATTTTATATAAATTTTATTGTTTATCAGTAAATTTCATAGTATAGTTTTATATGCAATATTTTTAAAATCTGTTTGTTTTAGGATTTTATAACATGGGGTTTCATATTTTATTGTTAATACATATATATGTGAATGGATATATGTAAAGCGCTTAGGGTAATTTTAATATTATATAAATCGCTGTTGTAAATACTGTATAATAATAATAATATTATAGTTTTTTGATTTGTTAATTTAAATTTGAATTTTGATTTTTTGATTTTCTAACTATTTCAACCTACATGTATTTCAATAAAATTTAATGTTGAATTAAGTGTTTCATGGTAAGAATTTTGTCTGAAGAATATCAGTTTACTTGTGTGGTTTACATGATGATGGTCATTAATTAGTTCTGCACAGTGAAATATTTTGTAGGAACTGTGAGTGTGATGTTCATACAAATAATTTTATAGCTCATTTCACTAATTCACCAATGTTCTATTTCTTTTGAATCCTATTGATAGGTTTTTATGGGATCTGGCACCTATTGTAGAATCTGTTTTAAAAAGATGCCAGTATTTCCTGAATACTTTTTGAAGTTTTTCTGCTTGAGAATGATAATATGTATTGTAATGAATGATACATTACATCTATTTCAACTTTGTTCTTTTTCTTTAAAAATTGGGTGGTTTGAGTTTTTATGAAGATATTGGAATTTTTCAGTATTCTTTCAAAAGCATTTCATATCTAAAACACCAGTATTTTTCAAAGCGTTCATCTTTGAAGATTTATGGAATGATTATTGCATTCATAAGTGAACTTTAGCAATAATTAGCATTTCAAACAGGAAATCCAATTTCAATTACTATTTATTTAGTGGTAGGGATGAGCTGCTAAAAAGATCACCATGGTCACTATTTCAAGCTTCATTATATATGATCCAATCTGGAAATTTAGATGAAGGTCAAGTTTTCAACTTGCTATTTATATCACAAGTATTTGAAACTAATCAGATGTCAGAATCTTTTGATGTGGTAATAACAACAGTTGTAAATGTATCCAATTAAGTGGTCAAATCAATTATCTCTCTATTAATTTTCCCATATGCATTCTTACCAGCTATTAACTTGCTGTTTGTGCTTTTAATCCCATTGTTTAGACATTTTCACCTAATTAACATTAAAAATATATAATAATGAAAAACTACATATTTTTAATTTTACCCTTTGAGAGTGTTGACCATAAGAGAAATAGGTTTAACAACTTGAGAAAATTGGATATCGCTTGATATCAACTCTTGTTATTTAATTTAATTACTAATAATAAACTCGCCACAGGCTAATTTATTATTATATTGAAATTAAATAACTCCAGTTGAAATCAAGCGATATAATTTCAATTCTCACTTGTTATATGAAACCTATAAGTACAGCCTTCAACATGGAGCCTAGGCTCACACAGCATAGTAAGCTAGAATGGGCCTGAAAATGACCAGTGTGAAACAATACAGACGAGAAAAATTAATGGCCAACTTGATATACAAAACAATAAATGAAAAACAAATATGAAATACAGTAATAAGCGACAACCACTTAAATTACAGGCTTCTGACTTGGGACAGATATATATATATAGAAAATATATGCAGCGAGGTTAAAAAAACGTATGTGCTGGATCCAAATTCTCCTGGGATAGTGGTGTATTTGTCTGCAATGACAAGACTTCCATATACACTGGTAAACATATTGGCTAACAGTTCTTCTAGTCAGGGATTTGTTTGTGCTTAACTTTTAAACACACTTCTTTTGGTTACGGCTGCATATATGTTACTGAGAATAAAATTCCAGTTTTTTTTGGCACATTTAGAAAAAAACAGATAAATTCCAGACAGAAGAAATAAAATCGATGTCTTCCATAGGTATTGCTTCTAATCTTTACACTAAAATTTCCAGACAAATTGACAGCATCATGAAAAAAATTCCAGTATATTTAAGTTTTATAATGCGTTTAAATTCTGGAATTCCAGAAAATTTTGGTAATGGTGAAAAATATTTCCATGGATTTTTTTTTTTACATCTTATGTCTTCCATAGGGGGGGGACAGAATATTTCTGGAATAGCCCAATATGAATATTATACACATTCTGTATCTATATCATAATCAGTATATCTGTATGTCTAAGATACCAAGTATGGCTTTAAGTGACGACAAAGCGAGCACCTATTCAGTTAGTCCAAATAATAAAGATGTCTTGAAATGCTGTTTTATTTTTTTGATTTGACACCTAAATTCCTGCACAGTGTTATATTTTTACCACCTTTCCCACGAATCTGTATGAAATAAGGATTGGTGGTATGATTGACATGACAAGAGACAGATTCAAATGAAGCAGATTTAAGCAACGAACGTCACTGTACGGCCTTAAAAATGAGCAAAATCTATACCCTATAGTCATGATAGTCTGTTATAAAAGTCCCTGACATGACAAACTGTGAAACAATTCAAAAGAAGAACCATTGACCTGACTTATGACAAAACAATAAACGGAAAAAAAATATGGCAGACATACATGTACAGCATTCAACGACAACCACTGTATTACAGGCTCCTCACTTGGTACAGGCACATTTTGAATGTAGCGATGTTAAACATGTTTCTGACTTATAAATGCTCAACCCTTACCCATGTTCCCTAACCTTGGACAGTGGTGTAACAGACAAACAGCACAACATAAGCATGATAAGAGCAAACTGTAAAAATCAGTTAGAAATGACATGAATCATTAGATCAACAGAAAGCACAAAAGGCAACTTAACATAAAAAAGAAAAACACAAAGTGTCGATTTAAGAGTACTCACAATTACTGAAAGATGGTTCAAAGCAAAGTCAATAATAACTACATGTAATGCAAAAATCTTGTTCTCCCAGACTTAGATATGCCCATTATTATAACCTAGGTCTTCTGACTTCATATGTACATGTACCTCCTAATAAATAACAGATAACAAAAACACTGCATACAGAAAAGCTTCATGTAAAAGTGAAAAATAAAACACATTTTAAGTTTGATAAAGTAATCATTCATTATTTTGATTTGAATAGAGATAATTTAAAAAAAATGTTTGATGAGATTATATACAATGTATATTACTAACATGTTTATTTAGTATTACTGAAACATATCAGATAATATGTCAAGGGGCATACCTTTCATCATGTTCATCAATGTTGTAAAAATTTTAATTATTAAAAACAAAACATATATAAGGAATGTAAACTCATGTTTTGCATGGCTACATGATAATGTACATGCACCAAATTAAAGATGTATTATAATAAAAACATTATGCATATCATATATATTATGACATGTATGACAGTGCATTATAATTATAAGCCTAATTGACTGGTTGAAAAATTTAAACCATTTGTACATTTGAACATGATTGTTTGTTATAATTCAGGTTGCACTTTAATATTTAAAAAACATCATTCATTCATTCATCTTACAGTGTTATCCCATATACATGTACATGATATATGCAGTAAAACTTTCACATGTTAAACAATACATACATGACATATATACATGAACATTTTGCAATTTGTTTAAAAAATTTGAAGACATCTGACCTGTGTCTGTCTGTGTCAGATGTTCATGAACTTCATAGTTATATACTTGATATTATTTCATATTTTTTTTTATAGGAGTCATCATTTAATTATGATCCAACCAAAGCTTCAGAAGATAAAGAAGTAAATCATGACATCTTATGGAGAGAAGGACAGACTCTTAAAGTATTTATACTTATTAAAACTAAATAAAAAAAAAAAAACGCATTTTTAACCTCTTAGTTGCCATATTTAGAAGTATCCCAAACTTGATTGGAAAATTGTGTTTTTTTATTGTTGTACATGTACATGTATATGCATAGGGAAAAAAATAATCTGAAATAATTTAATTTAATTTCAATCAGTAATTATTCTTATATCAAATTGTTGTTCTTAAAAACTTGTTCTATAATTTCATGTAATATTATGGTAAATTTTGCTGAAAGTCGCATTATGCAAGACATATAGGGATTACTATTCAGTGGCGGTGACGTAAACTATTTGTATAAATCTTTATATTTCAAAAGGTAGAAGACAAGGATGCTTCATACCTTGTATGCAGATTCCTTATATTAAGAAGTTTCCCTCTGTCATATGTCCATTGTCCTTGACCTTATTTTCATGGTTCAGTGACTGCTTGAAATTTTTTTAAAGATTTTTTGTCATGTGCATTTCTCTCTTATTATAAGTAATAAGATAACTATATTTGGTAAATGGTTACATTGCAACATCTACATGTCTGTCAGACAGAGTTCACCTGACCTCGACCTCATTTCATAGATCAGTGATCAAGGTTAAAGTTACACAATAATGTCCGTTTCTCAAGTACTATAAGCAGTAGGTCAACTATGTGTGGTGTATGAAATGATTGTAAGGGGTACATGCTAGTCTGGTAGGTTTCATCTGACCTTAACCTCATTTTCATGGTAACCAGGTTCATTGATCACGGTTAAGTTTTTGTGTTGTGGTCTGTTTTTTTAAGTGCTATAAGCAATAGGTCAACTATATTTAGTGTATGGGATGATTGTAAGGTGTAAATGTCTGTCTGGCAGGTATATATATATATATCATCCCTGACCTCGACCTAATTTTCATGGCTCATCAAATTGGTCAACAATGGTCAATGTTAAGTTTTTGTGTTTTGGTCAGTTTTTCAAATGCTATAAGCAGTAGATTTACTATATTTGGTGTATGTAATGATTGTAATGTGTACATGTCAGTCTGGCAGGTATAATCTGACCCTGACCTCAATTTCATGGTTCATTGGTAAATGCTAAGTTTTTGTGTTTTGGTCTGTTTTTCAATTTATACCATAAGCAATATGTCAACTATATCATATATATTTGGTGTATTGAATAATTGTAAGGTGTACATGTCTGTCTGACAGGATTTATCTGACCTTGACCTCATTGCCACAGATATATAGAAATGTTAAGTTTATGTGATACTTGTAGTAAAACTTATATCTCTAAGACTTTAAAAATAAAATCAATGGTCAGTAAAGCAGGCGAGACATTTCAATGTATGCACTCTTGTCTATCTTTTATGAAGCATCTTTCCCATTTTGTATATTTTTATAATTTTTTTGGCAACAATTTTGGTGTTTTCATATGGAGTATAAAACATCTTTGTCCATTTTAAGAATAATATGCATGGTAGCTTCAAGTCTCTAGCTCTAATAAATACTGAATTTCATTTCAAAACTGAAAGAATAAAGTCATTGGTACCTCTGAAACAGTTTTCAAAAGTAATAAAGGCATTTACTATTTACACACTATATTGACTCAGAATTACAAATATTATAATAAACAGCCATTTACATGTTTTCACAGTAGATTGATGGTATGATTAAATAGAATGTTGGGTGTAAGCATATGAGAAATGAAACAAAAGGCCAACAACACAAAAACCCAGAAAAGATCTAGATTTTAATGTACAGTCTTCAACAATTGACAACCATACGTCAAGTATCAACTAACCCAAAAATAAAATTAGAATTGTTTGATGTTAAAATTGAGAATGGAAATGGGGAATGTGTCAAAGAGACAACGACCCGACCATAGAGCAGACAACAGCCGAAGGCCACCAATGGGTCTTCAATGCAGCGAGAAACTCCCGCACCCGGAGGCGTCCTTCAGCTGGCCCCTAAACAAATATGTATACTAGTTCAGTGATAATGGACGTCATACTAAACTCCAAATTATACACAGGAAACTAAAATTAAAAATGATACAAGACTAACAAAGGCCAGAGGCTCCTGACTTGGGACAGGCGCAAAAATGCGGCAGGGTTAAACATGTTTTTTGAGATCTCAACCCTCCCCCTATACCTCTAGCCAATGTAGTAAAAACAAACGCACAACAGTACGCACAGTAAAACTCAGTATAAGAGAAGTCTGAGTCCGATGTCAGAATAGGAAAGAAAAGAAAGTAAACAAAATGACAATAATACATAAATAACAACAGACTACTAGCAGTTACTGACATGCCAGCTCCAGACCTCAATTAAACTGATTGAAAGATTATGTCTTCATCATATGAATATCAGGCACAATCCCTCCTGTTAGGGGTTTAGTATTATACCGTCATAAAATATATGAGAAGAACATAACCCGTGTCATGCCAACAACTGGTTTTAGAACAAATGTGTTTAATTCCGATGCAAAGACCCTATACGTGAATCAATATTAAAGCCAAAATATGCAATCTTTAATGACCTGACAACAGTATTGTAACTATATCCCTTCTTAATAAGTCTTGCCTTCATGTACCTACCAACCTTAAAAGTAGCCTACCTGAAAAAATTTGTGACACAATGCGTCTGTTCGTTCTTTCGTCCGTCTGTCCCGCTTCAGGTTAAAGTTTTTGGTTAAGGTAGTTTTTGATGAAGTTGAAGTCAAATCAACTTGAAACTTAGTACACATGTTCCCTATGATATGATCTTTCTAATTTTAATGCCAAATTAGAGTATTGATTCCAATTTCATGGTCCACTGAACATAGAAAATGAAAGTGCGAGTGGGACATCCATGTACTATGGACACATTCTTGTTTTTTAAAGTTTTATCGTGCTCTAACATTGTTTTCTTGTCTAAAACATGTAACTTATGTTGTTGGCCCCCAAAATAATCCGTACCTACATACCCAATCCTACAAGGCATGGGTAGGCAACATCAAACAAAGAATTAGTTAAGAATAAACAAGACAGATACTTCCAAAGATCAGCTATCAATTTTAAATTCTTGAAACAACCTAAAAGTCATTAAGATATATAACATGTATAATTTAAGACAACCACTGACTCAAGTTCCTGATTTTGGAACAGGAACATTAACATGCGACTGAGTTAAACTAGTTTTTTAGTATCAGTACCCAGTCCCCCTTTCACCTTTTTTTATCTTGATCAGTGGAATAATAAAAGATACATTAAGTAATGTGGAATTAAATAAAAGTGCTGGAATAGTGCTTAACAATATACATAAGAAATATAAATAACAAACCACAGGTACATGAATACAATAATAGATTATCGTCAAAATAAAAATAAGGAGTTCTGGTATGATTGTCAATGAGACAACTATCCACCAGAGACCAGATGATGAGGATGAAAACAGCTATAGGGCACTGTACAAGTGTACATGCTGTACAGCCTTCAACCCTTGGTAAAACCCATACCATATAATAAGCTATACAGGTCCCTTCATGAATATAAGTGAGCCAATAAAAAAAAGAAATACCAACAGCCTGATTTATGCTAAAACAATATAATGTTTACCATTTTTACAGTAACTAAAATTAAGCTTAGACAACATATTCTGTTGATGCACCAATCATGCGTTGTTATATGGTAAAATTTATTGTTTAGAATATACTGTTTTAAAATTACTTTTTATGTTCATTTCAGGGAGAAATCACTTTTACACCTAGACTGATTGCATTTGATCTGAAAGGAAGTTTGAAAACACTGAAACAAGAAGGAATTCTATATGATTTAAACTCACAAGAGGAAGTCAAGTGGTAAAATTATTTTAAATTTAAAAGCTTATTTCACCTAATCTTGACATCAGATGTTTTGCTTTTAAAAATATGGTTTGCATCAGGGCTTCCAAAAAATATTTAAGCCAGCCGGATATTTTATATCTGTTTCTGATTTTAATCCCTTAAGACTAAGTAACAAAAGGTGACTAAGGTTATCAGTTGGCCATCCCAATGATTGACAATTAAAAAAAAAAACGATATTAAACTTTACTTTGATATAAATTAGATGTTCTGACGTAAACTGGTAAATTGGCAGTGCATCATTCGAAGTGTGCAACATCAGCGTACTAATATCTGCCTTAGACTCTTTATTTGTGCAAAATAACGGTTGTCAAACACTTTACTTTCGTTTTAAAAGCACATTTTCCTAATATCGGATGTTGACTTGACAATGGTAAAACATGGACCAGAGACGGATACGTAAAATCTGTGTACGTTTACAAAGCACGACTGAGTGTAAGAAGCTCTTTCCACGTTATTTCTTCAACAAAAATACTCGAAATGAACGTTAGATACAGGTATCAATGATAATTTTAGCATTTTTGAAGAACTTAGGATGCATAATTAAATTTTCCACCTGCGCACACGTGTACTAGTTCAAACAACGTGGTTCTAACGATTTTTCATTTAAAACCTTTTTAAATTTTTCATCAAATCATATTTTAAACGTATTTCATATAATTTTAATCTTCTGGACTAAATTAATTAGATGCAAACCACTGAAATGTAAGAAAATAACTTTGAATAGACCGATCAATGTCCGGTTCAAAATAATTTATCTGTCACCTGAACAGGTAGATTTCAGCTGTCCAACAACTAATTAGCCTTGATTAAAATGAGAAGGTATTAAAGTAGGGCTTGTTTTGATAGTAATTAATCATCATGTCACTTTTATGACCGGAAATGTGTGGCTGTTTAAGGCAAAAGGTTGGGTAAAAAACATCGCGAATTATGTTAAAATGACCGTCTCTTAAGAACCCTTGAACACTAAAAAGTAGATGTCCCGTTCATGTTTATCCCAAGCGGACAATGTCCGGTAAATTTACAAATTTCCGGAATATATGACCGTTTTGGAAGCCATGGTTTGCATCCCTTTTCTGTCATTTTACATGATTTACAGGATAAACATATTGTTCTACATTAATTGTCTGATTTCAGTTAATACATTCAAAAGTAACCATAAAACCATATGCTTTGTTAAAAAAACATTTAATTATTTTTATCATGTTAAAACATTGTTTTAACTTGTTCACAGTGTTATATAAAAATCGGATTTTTTTATCTTTTAATGTATCAGTATCATCTTGTGTGTTTCTTTCACAGGGGAGGAGATGTGAACCTTCACCAGTCAGTTCCAGTTCCAAAGAACCAGTATTTACAGGATCTGGCAGCTAAGGTACAGCTCATGAAATATTTATTGTTGAATTGTGTTAACTAGACAGTGGTAGACCTCTCAAATATTTTTTTTAAGCAATGTAAGATAACAGATGTGATTTTTTTTATATCCCTGCCGTCACCGGAGGGGGCAGTAAGTGTTTCCCTTGTCCATATGTACATACGTCCCAAAATTGGTTTCCGTTCTCTAACTTTAGTTTGCCTCAACTAAATGTTATGAAATATTATACACAATGCTTATTACCACAAACGCAGATCAAGTTTGAATTTGAGTAACGTCACTTTTACCGTTCTCTAGTTATACCCCTTTATAACGTTATATACAAGCAGGGGCATCATTTGTGCCACATGGACACATTCTCTGAAAGTTATCCAATATCTAGGATATATTACTACAAGTGCTTATATCTGACAATAATCACAAACATATTTTTCTTGATCATGATGATTAGTTGGTTTTTTTAAAACAAATTGATAAGTTAACAACACATGATAAATACAGAAGAAAATCATGATAAAGTTCACAGGAGTAGGCCCAGCTAAAACCCCTTTTTGGCCCCAACATATAGCATTTTTACAAATTTGATAAAAACGAAACTTCTAGCTATTTATTGGAAAGGAGAATACTTTTGTTACATAAATATAGGCTGTTTTTTACAAAACAATGCACATGCATCATACTAGGTACTAGCATCATTAATTCATGCAAAATTACTGAAAGCTTCACAATTTTAGCATTTGTGCAAATTCATAGACGGTTTTTGTCTAAAATGGAAGTGGCCGCACTTGTGTTCAGTCATAATATTTAAAAATATGTTGTATTTGATGGAAATACATATATAACATTTATAAAGGTTGGGACTGAACACAAATGCAGGCACTTACATTTTAGACAAAAAACATCTGAAAAGTGAAGTTTTATGGCATATTTGATAGATTTTTCATACTTAAGGTTGTTTTTAAGCGTCTGTAATGATTAAATCAGTTCAAATCTTCTACATAAACTTATTGAATCGACTGAAGTAGACACTTAAGTGTTTAAAAATGCTAAAAATATTTCATGAGATGTACTTCAAGTTTTAGGCCAAAATTAGCCCTTACGGAACCTTTCTCCTTTGTTCATGAAATAATATATTGCAATGATGTACAACATCACACAATAATGAACTTGTCACTACAGTTTCATACAAGTTTTGAAAAAGGGTGATTTTTATGTCAACGATACTGTCTGCAGTTTCACATAAAAACATTCATAAAAAAACGATACCGGTAGTTAGATAAATGACTACTGATTTCTGTATGAATTAAAGGAGATATGGTGTTTACATCGATGAGGAGGTGTATATTTGAGAAAAAAAACTATACACAACAGCAATAAATTTTTCTTTAATGTGTCAAGAGAAATAAAATGCTACTATAGAATATTCCTAGATTATCACACCATCTTACACTTCATTAAACCCTCTGTGTATTTTTTATTCCAAATTTATTCTACCATTTTCAAAAAGAAAATTACAAAAGTTCATTACAATACTGTAACAGTATGATTTATTTATTGGTGTTTGCTTAATGATGCCTTAACCACAAAATGGCTATATTGCAGTGAGGTTAAACAATAAATTTTAAAAAATTGCATGCCTGTTCCAATTGATTGAAAATATAGAAACTAATTTTTAATGTGGCTTAATATTAAAAATTTACATAGTGTGGAGAAATATATTGTAAAAGCATTAATATGTGATTGCTCGAAAGACAGAAAAAACTATCAAAGGAAAATATTTATTGACCTTATAAATGCATACTGATGAATCAGTATTATTTGTGGAATAATTATTTTCATGGACTAAGTATGTAAAGATGAACCAGGAATTAAAACATGCAACAAAGTACAATTTTCCTATAGATATAAGAAGATGTGGTATGAGTGCCAATGAGACAAATCTCCATCCATGTAAAAATTTATAAAAGTAAACCATTATAGGTCACAGTACGGTCTTCAACACGGAGCTTGTATGCAGAATTTGTCAAAACCACAAAATCAATTACCCTCATTTCAAGAAAGTTTGTTCCAGCAAAAACACGAATCCACAGTATATAGGTGTTGAAAATCAGCCTTACAATGTTGTAGCTGTAGAAATGTAAGAGTGTTAAAATTCACCATTTTTATGCCAATAAATTGTCATTTTTAGTCTAAACCATAAATGTTTTTACAGGAGAACACAGTTTTAGTACCAGAAGATGCTGATCAAGGGGAAGGCGATGATATTCCTGGTATAATCAATTTAAATCCTTGAAAACCTGTCTTGAAAGTTTTGTGGATAAGTTCTTACAAAGTAGATCTGTCCTTAAGGGCTATTCCATTAAAATGTATGTGGGAGGGTAGGAAGGGACTTTCAAAATATCCCTACAACCAAGAACAATTTTTTAGATAATTTTACATAATGGTAATAGACTCATACTGAAAAAAGACCCATGACCCTCATTCAATAATTAAACTTCCCTTCCTACCCTCCTACATACATTTTAATGGAATAGCCCTCAGTGACTTAAATCACAGAATGAAGTAATCATAAGTGTGATGTAAATTATTTACACACAAATTAAATACTGAATATGTTCCACATTATTTTGCAGATGTATGAAATCTACCTTCAAAATATTTTACTAGTTGATTCAGTCTTAGATGCAAGTGAAGATAACATTTTCATAATATTTTCACATTTCTCAATCGGTGTGAGAAAAATATCTCTAGAGAAAACTTTGTTCTCGTCAAATGATTGGTCAAAATGTCAATTATGAAGTCAAATTTTCTTGATTTCTTCTGAAGTTCCTAATGTGACGTCATGAAAAAAAGCAACCATGCCTGATGACATCACATATAAAGAACGCATACTTCTGCAAATCTTTGAAAAGGAAGGTTAAACTTTGTTTGGATATCGTCTAAAAATCATGAGAGAAATAGATTCCACCACTATATATTGTGCATTACGATATTTTTCCACCCTCAACAGTTAAATTTTAAATATTTAAAAAGCTTGGCAAGCCTCACATTTTAAATTTTAAAATTAAACTGTCTCGAGTGTAACAGATGTGTAATAGACTACATATCTTATTAACGATTTTGACCTGTCTTTGCTTTTAGAAATGTTTTTTTTTTTTTACAAATTAACTTATTTATAATTTGAATATTTCAGATGACATTTCTGCTAAAGAAGAAGAGGTATTTGGTAGAAAGCTGTATGATATAGATGGTTCAGTGAGCGTATGGTCAGATTTCATGAAAGTTCATATCCATCCAAAGTCGTTGCACATCATCAATGAATATACCAAAGATAGGTAATAAAAAGTATATAAAATACAGAGGTACCAGAAATGTAATAAAAGTATATAAAATACAGAGGTACTTGAAAGGTAATAAAAGTATATAAAATACAGAGGTACCAGAAAGGTAATGAAAGTATATAAAATACAGAGGTACCAGAAAGGTAATTAAAGTATGATGGAGAGTTGTCTCTGGTGGAGAGTCGTCTCATTGGCAATCATACCACATCTTCTTATTTTTTTATATTTAAGTTACGAATGAGTACATGTTCCTAGAATTATAACATTGTTCTATTTATGTCAAGACTTCTTGTTTTTCACCCAAAATATTTAGTTTTTAGCTTATTCTATATTCTGTACATTTTCTTTTCTTGATGATTATCAATTAATGAAGAAGATATGAAACAATTATGAAACAGAAACGTGACAGCAACCCAAAATTCAAATTCAAGTCAATAACCACCAAAAAGATGCAATTTTTTAATTGACATATTTATTTTCATAAGGCAAAAACAAAACAATAATTGACACCCACCCATGCCCTACGTCTAACATACAGATTTTGATCTGTTTAAAGTATGTTTTAGTCAAAGTTCTATTTGAGAGTTTGAGATGTAAATACATTGAGATATGATAATCAATGAGCCTACAAGCAACTAGCAGCATTTATTTGAATTGCCAACTTTGCTTGATTGAATTTTAACCAAATATTTTTTAAAAGTTCAACTATAAATCACACATTTTTAAAAGATCACTGACTACTGGTTAGAAATTAACCTTAGAAATTAAAAGCCAAAGAAACTGACAGACAATATCATGAATATGTTGGGCAAATTATTTGTAAGAATTTGTTGCCTGTTATGATTTGTAATTTTTAGGATTTACCCACATCTATCCTATCTAACAGATGCTAGGGGCCACCTTGAACTTGCAGTGAGGTGTGAGCTTTTTCCTCATGGTAAAGGCTTGCTCTAACTTTGAGATTTAGAACAGCAATAACAGTGCCTGTAAAGATATTTTGTCATGGATTGATTTCTCAACATGAATAAATAGAGATGTGGGATGCACACCAATGAGACAGCAACCCAACAACAAAAAATAACAAAAAAGACATTTAGGTGGCAATATACAGACATCTAACAGTAGACAGGTGTCTATCATGTCTATTCAATGTGTCAAGCTCTAAATCCTGAATCTTATCATTTTTTTCCATCACATATAGAGTAATGTTCTATTGTAATGCCCGCCTAGTTGGTCTTGTGTTAGCATGCTCACCTCAAGTTTGCAAAGGTCATGGGTTTGATCACCAACCTGGTCAAACAAAAGACTTGAAAACAGGTGTTTGCTGCTGCTACTCCACAAAGCATGCAGCATTTATGATTAAGAGCAAAGAATTGTTGGCCTGGAGTCAAAATAATGTGTCGGGGTAGGGGGTGTGTCTTTCTGCTGACTGTTACACAAATTGTACCTTGTGAACTAGCAGGTTAAAAATCAAGATCAGCTTGTTAGTCTAGTTTAAAGCAGGGTTCATATGCATATTATATAAACATGTTTTTGTCCTGAAGAATCAATTTGTCGCTGGACAACTATTCTTTAAATTCAGAAATTATTGTGAGGTTTTTATTTATGCGAATAATGCGACTTGGTGATTATTGCAATAATAAGAACTCGCATTCTTATATCTTATACATATATATCTGTCTGCAGATTTTCTTGAAATCGCAATAATTAATCTCACATTTTTGTACATTCTTCAAAAATCCCAAAAATAAATGCACGCAATAATTTTTTGAATTTACACTACGTCATCATCTATTGTAGTGAAATAGACAAATTTGACATATATGGTTGTGGAAAGTCTGTACTGTCTAACTATGAAACGAGGTCAGAGATGGAGGATCGTATTCATTTCTTTACAGAAGAATGTGATAGCTTACAGGTATAATTACATAAATATCTTTTAAATTATCAATCTGATATTATACAAATGTAAGGTGCTTTATTTTTTTTCTGGAGTTTGAATTTTGCCATTTTTAGAGCTGAACCTGTTGGAAAGTTTTTTTTCTTTGCTTTTTTTTTTAATATCTTAGATTCTGCTTCTTTAAAGATTAAATATAAGCAAGGAGATATTTTGGCAATTTTATCTTTATTGAAAAATAAGCAAATATTATTCCCTCCAGAAAATGTTCAACTTTACAGTATATAAGTTTAAATGGACATACATGTATCATAGTTCAATCAATAGCATTTTGCTATATCTGCAATGGTTTTGTTAGACAGAAAAATTATAAACCTCTGGTTAAGCTTTTAAACTCTGTCTAACACAATTATTCTGGTAAAGATAATTTTCTAATTCATATTTTGATAACTGTGCAAAAGGTTCAACAAATAGTATTTCTGGTATTATTTGCCCTTCCAAATAATAAGAAAAGTGATCAACCAAAGTCTGACTTGTATAGGCCATATAAATGATAAATTGTTTAATTATAATCAAATTTTATTAGATTTCAACTTTATATGTATGATGTAAATTGCCTTATGAGGTATGAGTTTTGTTCATTGTTGAAGGCTGAACAGTGACCTATAGTTAACCTTTATGTCATTTGGTCTCTGGTGGAGAGTTGTCTCATTAGCAATTATACCACATTTTCTTACTTTCATATTCAATAGAAGATTAAGGTCAATGTTTGATTATTTAAATGAAAATGCAATTCATATATTTGATAAATGCATAAAAGAACAAAAAACCAAGTACACCATGATTATTTTATGGCAAACATAAAACAATATAAAAAAATATGTATATTAATTTGATAGCAGATCTTTGATAATTTCTGTTAAATTTATTGACAGTTTTTTAGACTTAGGAGGTTGAGATACATTTATATTTATTGACACCTGTCTATTGATGAGGGCAATTTACCTTTAAATGTCTATTTGTTTTGTGTTGTTACGTTGAATCAGTGTTCTCCTTTCAAATTTCATATATAGCATCCTGGTAAACAGCAAATATGAAATACCATCTTGTTTCTAAAATATAAAGCATCACATCCATTACACTATAGGCTATCTATAAGGAAATCATTTCAGATAACATCACATTCAAGCAATATAGCATCACATTACCATGATGCTAAAAGACCCTGTGGAGAACACTGGTTGTATACCTATGATACCCTGCATCTTTTTATGCCCCCGCCGTAGTGGTGGGGGCATTAATTTTTACCCTTGTCCGTCTGTACGTACGTACGTACCAAAATTGGTTTCTGTTCCCTAACTTGAGTTTGCCTCAACCAAATGTTATGAAACTTATACACAATGCTTATTACCACAAAACACAGATCAAGTTTGAATTTTGGTGGCGTCACTTTATTTTTTCATATTTTAACAATGTAGAGTAATTTATTAAATGTAACTGAGAGAAGAGTCAACCCATCTTATGTCAACTTTGCATGTGAATCTTAGCTTTGTAAGAATGATTAGAATTATCAACTGGGAATTGATCAAAGTGTTAGTAATATTTATCATATATTTCAGGGTTTCCATATCCTAGTAGATACCTATGATGGTTTTGGAGGGTTAGGAACAGGTTTGTTAGAGTACTTGAGGGATGAGTTTGATTCTAAGTCATTGATGACCTTTGGTTTGACACCTGCAGTTTTACCAGATAGTGTAGGTTGAACTATTATATATACTGATCTCTTTATAATTATAGATCAATCAGTGATATCTTGTTTATAGAAAACTATGATTTTGACATTAAACAATGCGCTATTTGTCCCAAACTGCAATTCAGTGAGGGGGGGGATGTAATATAACATCTGTAAAACTTGTAAGAGCTCTCACATCTACATCTATTATTTAATATTTATGAAATTTACATCAAAGGCATAAATTAGCAATGGTTCAGACTAGTTTCGAAAGTCAGAGTCAACTAATTTAAAGGGAGTTATGTTCTTGTCATAAGACAACTTATCTGTAAAATAAAGTCAACTGAGTCAATTTTACTTTACAGAAACTAAATGTCAAGGAGAAAGCTAAAATCCACAAACTATAGAGTCTGTATTTAAATTATGTCACAAACCTTGTAGGTACTGCTAATCCTGCAGCCTTCAGAAAAAAGAGGTTATGATTAGTTATTCCACAGTTTATATACCAGTAGTGGTCATTCATAATTACTCAACTGTAAAGAAAGGTGTGCGGCCTTACAATAGTAAAAGGTTTATTTTTAACCCACAATGAGAGTTTGGCTTTTGAAATATAGTGGATAACAGGAATAACAAAAAATATCGGCCAGCACAACAGACCACACCAATGACGAACACCCAACTCCTCAGTATAAATAGATCTACAGACAAAGACGACAAACAACAAATAAAACATGGTCCAGATATCTTGACTTGGTACAGACACAAAATGTGTTTTGGTTAAAATAGCTTTAAATGCACACAAACCTCCTCCCCCTTTGACATCAAATGTAATTGAGGTAAAACACAATTCATGAATGCCGGTGCTTTACCATGGCTACCAAATATGTATGTATAGAATTTGGCATGGTATTGAAAATAACAGACTACATGTGTATTTTCAGACTCCCCATGAGAGAGCAAACAGGATTTTAAATTCAGCTATAACCTACAATAACTGTAGCACATATAGTTCTTTGTTCACACCTCTGTCTTTAGCATCAACTCTGTGGAAGAAAATTGGACCTGTTGTTAAATTTCCATATTTAGATTACAAGGTATGTATTCAATACTCCAATATATGGTTCAATTTGATATACTTTTTCAATCACATCAGTAGACAAAATAGACCTTCCTATCTGAACACCTGAAAATTAAAAACTTACTTTGTGGAGAATATTTTAGTCGTGGCATATTTTTTATGCCCCCGCCGTAGTGGTGGGGGCATTAAGTTTTACCCTTGTCCATCTGTACGTACGTACGTCCGTCCGTACGTCTGGAAATTGGTTTCCGTTCTCTAACTTGAGTTTGCCTCAACCAAATGTTATGAAACTTATAGACAATGCTTATTACCACAAAACACAGATCAAGTTTGAATTTTGGTGGCTTCACTTTAACCGTTCTAGAGTTATGCCTCTTTATAAATGGAAAAATTGCGAAATTTTTAGTTTCCGTTCTCTTACTTAAGTTTGCCTCAACCAAATGTTATGAAACTTATACACAATGCTTATTACCACAAAACACAGATCAAGGTTGAATTACCGTCAAAAGCGAAATCTAGTCGCCCTGTTGTTTATGATACTCGCTTTCAGTCGCTTTCGTCATCGGCAATATTCAATTTTTACCAAGTCGATGAAACAGCAATTTTTCAGTAAAAAGTAAAGAAATTCAAAGACATAAACGATTTATTTTCTTCAGAAAAGAGGTTAAAGCATTGATTTTAAAGTTGGTTGCATGTTATTTCATAAAAACAATTTTTTATCACTTCCGGTACTTGTTAGAGAGCGTACATCAAATCATTCTAATTTTCGGCAAAATAAGTTTTTTACTTCATTAGAACGTGATGAAATTTGCCTGAAGTAAATTTGTTATCCATGTATTGCATTAAAAACGTCATATTCCTTTTCAAATAGCGTGTCAAACATCGTTTATTTTTTGAAAATTTTTCTTCGTCCGCCATTGAAATATTTGTAGTAAACTACTGATCGGAACCGGACCAGCTATGACAGAAATCCGGATTCTTACGATAATGACTACTAAAGAATGAATGGCACAGCTGACAGAGGAATATTGACCCCAAAAGGAAAAATTACGCATTCCACGCACATTAACATACTTTTGGTTAGATCTACTTGATTAATGTATATATTTCCATGTATATGAATTGTTTCAATTTATTAATTAAAATTGCTCAACTCTAGGACAACTATACTATGTCCAAGCTTAACTGTGTTAAATTTATATATCTTTTAAATGAGAATTTTAACCACTGAATTTCACAAACATAACAGAGTACATTTTAAATTGAAATAACAACTTTCTTTTCCTTTTTGATATAAAAAAAAATCTTTTTTATTATTGCTAGATATTAAACTGTTTTTTTTCTGACAAGAGGACTAATATGATTGTGCAACTAGATATGATAAAATTAAACAACTTTGAATATGAACTGTTACTTTTATTGTACTCCCAGGTACAAATTGAACAATATAAAAAAATAAGATACATATGGCCCTTTGTATTATAGTAAAACCAAACATTGTAGCGCCGCGAGCGAACGAGCACTTCTCTTTCAAATCTCACCACTTCTCCCTCTCAGTTTCAAAAAGAGAAGTCACTTCTCCCTATGATTCTGAAGTAGTGTGAGCCCTGTATGCCCCTTTATAAATCGAAAGATTGTAAAATTTTTAGTTTCCATTCTGTAACTTAAGTTTGCCCCAACCAAACATTATGAACCTATAAACAATATTCATTACCACATGTCCATTTATAAACATGAAAATTGCTGAATCTTTCGTTTCCGTTCTCTAACTTTAGTTTGTCTCAACCAAATGTTATAAAACTTAAACACAACTGTTCTAGAGTTATGCGTGTTTACAAATAGAAAAATTGCTGAATTTTTAATTTCTATTCTCTACTTAAGTTAGCCTTAACCAAATGTTATGAGACTTACACACAATGCTTATTACCACAAAACTCAGATCAAGTTCAAATTTGGGTAGTGTCACTTTTACCGTTCTTCAGTTATGTCCCTTTATAACTATATGATATGCAAGCGGGGGCATCATCTGTGTCCACATTTATTTATTATGAAAAGGATATAATAGCAGGAACAATTTTTTTAGGGCATATAATAGATCAGATGGTCCAATGTGTTAAAATTTTACTAGCATGCCGAACTGTCTAAGGGCTATTGCATTAAAATGTATGTGGGAGGGTAGGAAGGGACTTTCAAAATATCCCTACAACCAAGAACCATTCTTTAGATGATTTTGCATAATGGTAATAGATGCATACTGCAAAAAGACCCATGACCCACATTCAATAATTAAACTTCCCTTCCTACCCTCCCACATACATTTTAATGGAATAGCCCTAAGGTGGGTTTTATTTGGGGGGGTGCAAAATTCACCCTAGAAGTGTAGTACATGTATATGTAGAAATTTAAACTTAAAACGGTAAAACAGTTTGTAGAATGATTTTCTTATCTTATAGTTTTTATGCCCCTGCCGTAGCGGAGGGGGCATTAAGTTTTACCCTTGTCCGTCTGTACGTACGTACGTATGTCTAGTTTTTTTTTAAATATTTAAACATGTTTCATCACAATCTTTGTTCTTTATTTTTAGTCTATACCATACCATACCAGTAGTATACTAGCTGCAGCATTAGACACAATGTCTTTACCCTACAGGAATACTGGTCAAATGGATCTCAGAGACCTCACAGATAGTCTCAGTTCATTAGGTAAAAAGGTTTGTATCTCCAGGTAGAAGGACATTGTATTAAGGAGATGGGTTCGCTTTCCTTTGGACTCCATTTGGCTTGAAAATTGAAGAAACACAAAACATGTAGTTATAACATAAAAAAAAGAATTGATATGCATGTGCCTTGTTCAAATATAGTCACTAAATCATAACCCCATTGCTTTCTGTGTTGAATTCTGCAATTTCAAGCATTCATAGCTATTTTGTCTTAAGTTTAAATAAAGTGACAGTCATTTCATGTCAACACTTTACCTTGTCCAGCCTTGTGCTGAAAAATTCAACATACCATTATTTGCATATAAGAATATACTGGTGCAGGGAACCTTGGTAATACAAAAACAGGTACTGTTACTTCTGAAAATTGACCAAAATCTAAAAAATATGACACTTTTCAAAAGATGTTATAACTATATTTGTTGGGACATCATTGATCTAGATCGTCTATTATTACTTTTGTTTTATTGAAACTTAAAAATAAACTCAGTAAAAAGTTTTAAGGTGTCATACATTTTCGTTGTTACTAATTTTTATTGATTGCAGAAAACTTGCAATTTCTCTGATACTTGATTTCTGGGGTTTTACCAAATTCTGCATAAAGGCTATAGGAAATTTGTATTTTGTTGAATAATCATATTCAGGTTTCATTTGTAATTTTGTACCCAATAAAATTCACTAAAATTAGAATTCCACTAATAATCTTTGATCCACCATATGGCAAATATGACTTTTATCAGACAACAATGATGCAGACACATATAAATTGTACAATGTGTATACAGTGAAACCTGTCTTAACCAAACTCTGACTAAACTGGAATCATGTCTAAACTTAACTTGCTCCAAAGTCCTTTAACACTAATATCAATAAGTTTTGAACCTGTATAAACCAAACTCATTAAGGAACTTACATTATAATTAATTCTGTTACATGTATTAAGTTGTTACTCTGTACCTCAATGTGGCTAACGTAATACATGTATACATTTTACAACATTTGTTTCCTTCACAGTAAGGTGTTTAAACTAAATTTATTCTTCAGTCCTTAAGCATGTTAAGGAGATTGGTTTAGACAGTTTTTACTATATATAGGATATAATGAATGAAATATAAGGTTGAATTAAAATATTTTCTTTTTTCACTCTGTATTCATGTTTGGAGGAAGTCTCAATAAAAAGAAACCTGCAGAAACCGTATTTAAGTAAGACTTGATACATTTATTTTTAATTTAATGTCACAAGGTGACATGTGACAGAGATTGAAGAAAATTACCAATTGACTGTAATTTATGTTTTTGTTGAATAAATCTCAAGCACTATTTCAGGATAAAACCTTTATTGGGTAATAGGAATTAGGAAGAAAATGTAATAACATTAATTTTCACATTTCAGGTGGCATCCTTAAATGCAGCATTACCTTTTCCTATGATTGGTAACGGTCATCTAGTTCAATCCATCCTGTCATTAGAAGACAATTTACCCTGGTCATCTCTCACACCACATGTGACCAACCAGTCCAATCCATTTATGCAGTCAGTTGTTTCAAGAGGTATAACAGATCTAAGGCTAAAGAGGTAAATTACTGAATACTGTAAATATACTTTAGGGAATTATAAGGCCTTGGAAATTAAGAACTCTTTAGGGAATTATAAGGCCTTGGAAATTAAGAACTTCAAAAACATATCAGTTGTGGATTAAAACCTTAATCCCTTCCAGAGCACCTGAGTTCACCCCATGGCTGGCTTTATGACATTTAATCTTTAGTTTTGTGGATTATCCTTTGTCTGTTTATCTTTTTTTCTTAAGTCATGGTATTGTCTGTCTTCTTCCTGCTTTTCGTCCTGAATATGCATACAATAATTCCCACTGGACATTAAGCAAGCAATAATTCCCACTGGACATTAAGCAAGCAATAATTCCCACTGGACATTAAGCAAGCAACTATCAATCAATCTTCCTTTTTTTATATGCCCGTCAATTTTTGACGGGACGTATTATGTATACAAATGTCCGGTGTCCGTCCGTCTGTCCGTCCGTCTGTCTGTCCGGCGTAAACATGTCGCACCGTAACTTGAGAATGACAAATTTCATGAAACTTAACATAGTTGTTTCTTATGATGGTCAAACGATCTGTATACTTTTTGGTGAAAATAAGATTAAAACTTTTTGAGTTACGGGACTTAGTAACTAAAACAGGTGTGTGTTTTTTTTCACATGTCGCGCCGTATCTCAAAAACAATTTATGATTATTGCTTAAAACTTTACACACTTCTTAGTTATATTAACCTTAAGATCTGTATACTTTTTGTGATGCTTCAAAATTTTATTTTTGAGTTATTGAGTATTTTGTATTTTGTCAGAAACTATTTATGCTTATTACATAAAAATTCACACACAAGACGACGGGCGTATCATGCGCTCATGGCGCAGCTGTTTATTGTCGAGTCTGCTACATTTATGTCGCAAAAGCGACACATAGCGATCCTAAATTCCGTTTGCGGCGTTCGCCGCATCAACATTTAGGTTTAGTCTGTGGTTGAATTTTTTTTAGACATTAATAACTTTGTCAAACCTTCATGGAATTTTATGAAATTTGGACAGAAGCTTGTTTATAATTAAAATACAGTATCCAGAGCAATATTTTGAAAATATTTTCATTTTTCAACATTTTACTGATAAGTGGACATAGTTTTTTTACAGTTAACATTCAGATTTAGTCTGAGGTTAAAGTTTTTCAGTCTGTAGTTAAATTTTTTTTAGACATTAATAACTTTGTCAAACCTTCATGGAATTTTATGAAATTTGGACAGAAGCTTGTTTATAATTAAAATACAGTATCCAGAGCTTCATTTTTCAACATTTTACTGATAAGTGGACATAGTTTTTTTACAGTTAACATTCAGAATTAGTCTGAGGTTAAAGTTTTTCAGTCATCAATAACTTTGTCAAACCTTCATACAATTTTATGAAACTTTAACAGAAGCTATTTTTTTATTAAGAGATAATGTCTGAAACAAACTTTTGAAAATATATTTTTTTTCGTTTTAGTTTTTTACAGATTGGGATTGAATTTTTTTGACATGATAAATTTGTAAACCTTCATGGATTGTTATGGAACTTTGACAGACACTAATCTTCAAGACAAAGAAATAGCATAGAAAAAAAATTGATATTTTTTTTTAATTCTGTATTTTACTGATAAATGGACTCACTTTTTACATCAACATTACACTTTTACACTGACAGCAGCAACTGCAGGCGAGACACAGGGTTCCATAGAAAAAAGTGGGGGTTTACTGTTTTACATCTGTCTGTCCGTCCGTCAGTCCCATGAATATTTTTCGTTGCATCTTTCTCAGGAACTACATCATAAGGATTTCTGAAATTTAGTTTCAGGGTTTATATAAGTCAGCTATACCGTGTGATGTGTTTTCAGATTCATCACTCAACAACTTCCTGTTTACCGAACACTTACATATTTTTACACTATTAAAATTATCCAGTTGCGGCGGGGTATCATCAGTGAGCAGTAGCTCGCAGTTTCACTTGTATTTCACTTTGTCCTTTTGGAATTATTAGGTGCATTTGTAAACCTTTATGGATTGTTATGGAACTTGGACAGACGATAATCTTCAAGACCAAGAAATAGCATTGAAAAAAAAGTTTTTATTTTTTTTTTTATTCTGTATTTTCAGTAAATCTTACCCTTTCCAAGTTTATTAATAAATGAACCAATTTTTAGAAATAAGGGATTTCAAATAGGTTATTCTAATTCACATTATTTAAATTAACTTAATAACTACAAGATGTTGTTTCCCCATTGACAACTTAAGGAAAATTTGGTTTCCATTTTGAAAGTAAAGATTTGTCTTTGTTATATGTTTAAATTTAATTTGATACTGCAACTGCAACTGGAACCATTTCTGTTGTTTCGTAAGTATAGTCACATTCCTAAACAATTACTGTCAAAAAGGGGTTATGAACGGATGATTTTTAATTTAAAAATTATTTTTTTGTGATTACTCTTTATGGCTATTTATTTAGCCTTTAATAGATGTAGTGCGAAAAAATACAAGATTGATGTCTGAAAATACCAAAATTTATGTAATAAACAGCACTAAACTGTTGAAGACTTCAGTAAACCTCACCCATTCCAAGTTACCAAGCCTCAAACAAAGAAGTTGACATTTTTCTGACATTGATCTTATATAATTTTTAAAATATTTTCAGTCCGCTACCTTATTCAAAGACTCCAAATGAATATAGTTCCTGTTATACAGTAGATGATGTCCTACAGAAGTATCTAGAAACTAAATTCCAATCAACTTTCAGGTAACTTTTTATTTATGTGTTATAAAAGGACACACAATTCTGACTCTGAGCTGACCAGTCTCTGCTCTTACCCCTGAATGCTACCTGCTTAACTCTAAACTGTTTTGACTCTTATAATATAAAATTGTGAATAAAGCAGAATTCTACATTTTATTGTAACAAAAACATCAAAAAATATAATATTTAATGACTTTATTAAGCAGGGTTCACCACAAGATGAAAATCAAGGGTGGGGGAGAAAGTTCATCAAATCAGAGATTTTGTGTTGCGTTGTCGAATAGTTTCCTTGCGCATAAATTATTAATTATATGCCTTACATGTATTTGTCATAAATAGCTAATTTGGAAAGGGGGTCTTACATACATTTTGTAGTTGGTCCTATTAGTGGTCACCACACTAGTAGGAACATATTAAACAGGGAGAAGTAAACACCTAACATGCCTAATGTGGCTTCCCAGATTGCAGGAATATTAAAGTGAGGGATCCACATATAATATTGCTTTTTATGTGATAAAATAACATATTTAGTCACAGAATTTCAAAGTCATTTCAACCAAATTAAGCCTATCTAGCAGTTTGATCATATTTGTTATGTAGAATTTTATTAAATTAACTCCCCTCTTTTCCAATACAATTATGTAAAGGAATTATATATATCCAGTTTTACTCTTTTCATACTTTAAATGAGTTTTAAGATAATGACACTCCTATCCCAGCTATTTCTAACTGTCTATAAATAACCAGACAATGTTTGTCTGTTATTTAGGTGTTCCTACGTATTTTCCCGCCAAAAGAGCATATGTGACATGAGTCTGACATGGTTGTCAACAAAAGGACCATGTGATCAGGGAATTCATTTGTTTTCTGGATTACTGCTTTTATTAATTTAGTTAAGATAGGACATAAACATTCCATTTAAGGTACAGTCGAACATTTGCATTTATAGAATACCAGTAGTTTGCAAACAATTTTTACTTTTCAAATTGAAGAAACCGGGTCATGATCGTTCATTGGTTGTTACCTTGTTCAACCATGCGAGACCATGTAAATAATGTAATCAACTGTCAGTGTATATCCCTTGAGGCAATGTTCACACCAATTAACAATAATTAGATTTCACTGACATGATAATTGGATCAGGGATATCTGAAATTTAACTTCAATCTATTGAATTTTCAAGTGTGGCGGACAATAAAATAAGCGTGACGCTTGAAATAATATGTCACACGCTTAAATAGGTCATGGTATGGTGATCCGTGTTTTAAGTTACAATAAAATGTAGAATTCTATTTTATTCACAATTTTATATTATAAGAGTCAGAACAGTTTAGAGTTAAAGCAGGTGGCATTCAGGAGTAAGAGCAAAGACTGGTCAGCTCAGAGTCAGAATTATGTGTCCTGGTAGGATAACATATCTTCTTGCAGACTAACATGTACCTTGTTAACAAGCACATTAAAAACCATGCTTAGTGTGTCTGGTTAGTACAAACAGAGTTTTGTTCTTGTCCTGATATCTATGTAAAATTTGCAACTTGACATTAAATCCATCTATGCATCCATTACATATAGGATATGTTTAATAATATGTGATGAGCAGTCGTGTAACTTGCATGCATCTATGGTTTGTGAGACTTAAACAGATTTTTTCAAAGAATGTTCCAGCTGAAATTAAATGTTATTTTAAACAACAGAATCACAAAAACTAAGGCAAAAATAATGTTTGTAGGGTTTCCCTTCCGACCTTATTGTTTTATGCCTCAAAATGTGTACATGCACTTTTGGTAGGGAATCTAGAGAAAATTGCAGATGGTTCATTACACTTGAGATAAAAAATTGAGCAAAATAATAAAAAAAATCTACTTACCTATAAAAGTAAGAAGATGTGGTAGGATTTCCAATGAGACAACTCTCTACAAGAGACCAAATGACACAGAAATTAACAACTATAGGTCACGTATGGCCTTCAACAATGAACAAAGCCCATACCGTATAGTCTACTCTATTTTTCTAAATGAGGAAACCATAAACACATGTTTTTATTTGGCCTTATGTAATGTTTTATTTTTTCAGTGCCAGATGTGCTCGTTGTTTACACCTCGATGTGTTACCTCCATTTCCTAACATTTTCAGTAGAAATATTGACAGCAATGGATTTATATCTCCTGTTCTGAGACACCACAAACAAGGTAAGTTCTCATCTCAGGAGACATTTCTGCAGTGTATAAAGTAAAATTCGGTGGAAAAGGAAAGGTTGTCCTAAGCTTACTAGCATATTTCCCTTGCTAAACATTTGATGAAGGCTGTTTAATTACATGACTTGTTTCCCCAGGTAGGAAAATTAAAATCTTGATGACATTGTATAAAATTTGTATTTTGAGTCATGATTAAGCTTAAAATCATGACTATTGGGTGTTCACTTGGAAATTGTCTACAATTCTTGCCATTTTCAATGGAATAACCCTAGCATTGATACCACCAAATGAAATAAATTACCTTGACTTATTTACCAGCACATTGTGAAAACTCACCCTATTTGACAAAAGAATTTTTTTTATTCAATATACTGGTCAGGTTTAGATTTTTTAAATGGTTAATCCAGGATAGATCTAAACAGTAATACAAATTTTGATTTTCACACGAGTTTTTTCTAAAAATATTTTCCTCAAAGCTTTCAAGAAAGTTTACAAATATACACCATTACAGTAAAAAGCCATAGGATATATACTCATTAATATATGACAGAATACATGATTAATTGAAAATGAACTGATCAATTTCACACAATCCTGGAGATACTATTTTTACAATAGATGTGCAATTCATACTGATACTTATCTTTATTGGCTGCAAGACGATTCACCTTATTCCACTATATGTTTTCAATTTATGTATTATACAATTATAGCCTTTGTATGAGGTCGATACAAGGTTGACCTAAGAGAAGCATATTGACTGAGGACAAAGTCTGAGATCGATATGCTTCTCTAGGTCAATATAACATAGTATTGACCTCAAACAAAGGCTACAATTGTTATATTATTAATCAACAACTATTGCATGAACAGTGTAAAATTGGGGATTTCTAGAATGTATTTTTAGTAATATGCTGTATGCCCTGTGCAATATGCTGGTTTTGACCTACGAAAAGCTAAACACAACAGTATTGGCATGCAAACTAAGTTAATACACATGTACATATGATCAAGTTTTAACGAATCGCAAATGCATAAAAATAATTGATTGATAATAAAGAGCAATATAAGAATAGAAATATTAGCTGTTGAATGAAATTTGAACAAAGGTATTTTTCACGTCAACCTGTGTAAGAAAAAAGGCTTCATTTAAACACATATATTAAAATAATGTCTTCCTAAGTCATTTGAAATAAACTAGTATTTTTAAGAGAGATTTAATTTTTTATACCAAAGACTTTCAAAATGGGAAAAAATTCCTTAACAATTCCATGAAAGTAGGTCCATAGCTTCAATTTGTGTACAAACTATCTGTTTCAAGTATGTGAGTTGGAACTGTAGACAGAGTTAATAAAATAAAATAGGTACCCAGTTTAACAACTATAAGTGGGTTCTGCACTTTGTGTGGAACATTACCAAAAACGTGTTATGTAAAATAATACATCATCATATTTGGTTAGTTAAAACCAGAAACATCTTAAAATATTTTCTTGTATGACTGTTTTTTACACAATACATAGATTTCCAACATGATTAAAACTGGGAACCATAATAAATAAAGTGCAGCTAGTGTGACAGACAACCTACAATGCAACTCCATATTTCTGTTTTGTAGGAGTAGACAGGATACCAGTTATGACGTCTTTACAGTCTAGTCCAGACATTCACCAGTTAACACAGACTTTACATACGGAGGCATCTAAACTTAACATTAAAAAACATTCCGCCTACATAGAGGCGGGACTTGAAGAAGATAATTATCTAGAAATCTTGCAGGAGTTATCTGATCTTGATTCATGTTATGTGAACAAAATGGAAAGCTTGTGATATATTTTCGAATGCTTTTTTGCCAGCTTAGATCTATTATGAAACTATTTGTAGAACATGGACTGTTAGTTTTATAAATACCCAATGTAAAAGTTTTATAAATTTTATTCATCAGTTTACAATGCAAATAGTTAAGACAATTATGAATAACCATATAAAAATACAAATTAGTACAAAAATATTGAACATACAAAACTAATATCAAATGGTAAGAATACTGTTTCTCTAAAAACAAAAACAAAAACATTTTAAAAACAAACAAGATTTGTACACATTACAGCATAATGAATGAACATAAAATAGCATAATATGAAATCAATTTTGTCCAGACATAGGTGTTGATATTCAGCAGCAGCATCAACAATTAATCATTTTAGAACAATGCATTCTAGGTAATATATTTTAAAGTTCACACCAAAATATGATTGGTTGATAACATTCTAAACAATGGATATCCAGCCTATGATACAAGTTATTTCCATTTTTGTTTACAAAAACAAGAAAATTTCACACAATCGGCAAAGATTTTATATTTACAGTAGGTTTGAAATTCAAACAGATACTAATCTTTTATTGGCTGCAAGAGGAATCACCTGATTGCACTTCATGTTTCCAATTTATGTATAAGCAACATAATCTAATAGAATAGAGATATAAGCTTCAACCTTCAAATAAAATGGCACTCTTTTTAAACATAGTTCTTTGTACTTCCAGCAAACCTTTAAGGTTTTAAAATTTTGCATGTGATATAATACTGCTTTCATATTGAACAAATTGTATTATGTTGATGTTTTGCTTATAGCTTTACTTTCAGACTTTTGATAACAAATATGTTGTATTTTGAAGAATTGTAAATGTAAGAATTGAAACTCGTTTTTTGTAAATTTATTTCAAATGTAAGCAAAAGACTGGCTAAAGATACCAAAGGGATAGTGACCCGAAAAACAAACTGACAATGTAATGGCAAAAAAACAAACTGACAATGTAATGGCGAAAAAACAAAAAACGATCAAAAGACAAACAACAGTTTACAAAACACAACATAGAAAAATCCCCCCCCAAAAAAAACACTTCTATTAAAGGAGGGGCATTAATTTGATCTTTGACCCCTGTGATAGTGAAATTTGTCTGCTTGGTGTCCAGTACATTACTGTAAATTCAGAAATTATTGCGTGCATTTATTATTGCGATTTTGTCATTTTAGACTAAAATGTGATTCTAATTTTTGCGATATTAAGAAAAATCTTGTTTAATTCATATAAAAAATTTCAAAATGCGAGTTTAAATTATTGCGATTATAACCCTGTCGCATTTTTCGCAATAATAAAAACATAATTTCTGAATTTACAGTACTATGGTACTATAGAACTTAGGATGACCAATCTTGGTATGTGGATACAGTAACAACGGATTTGATGTAGGTTTTACTGTTTCCGATATATAAGGAGTCAAAAGGATCCAACACACTAAATTAGAACTTCTTTATTATAAGTCTTATCAAAACAAATATATTTGAAGAGGTTTGTCAAAATAAGTACAAAATCGAAAATTTGGCAATTGATTTTAGCTTTTGGCAGCCACTTTGTAAAAAGAGTGTTCAAAAGGTCAGAAAAAAGTTTTTTCAGTACATATGGATTTTTAATCTTATTTTTTTCAGTGGATTTCTATTTGCGATAACTTTTAGTAATATGTAAATTTAATAGGCTTAGCTTTTATCGTTTCCTAGAAATATAGGGTCAAAAGGGATTGCATTTTTTAACATTTGGAAGGTTTCTTTTTTCTTTATAGAACATGGACTGGAATTGCATTAATCAAAACTCACATTTTTGATAGTCGTCAGGGATTTGATATAATAAATTCAAGCATTAATTTCTGAATTAACAGTATGCAAACCTCAGACTGCTGCCGTGCAACAGCTAAAATGCATGTGCAGGAAGTATAGGCCCAGCTATGCTGACAGCTCTAGTTTTGTCTGCAAAATTGTTGGCAAGTACTATTTATGAAATATGGGGTCATGACAGTCACTTGATAGTAAATTTGTCAAATTCTGATACATGTAAAAATGTTACTAAAGATAGTTCATTTTCAGTGCATGGTGTAATGAATCCACATCTGACTGGTCTGCTACCTTCCAAAATGCCATCTTAAGCTGAAAATAAAGTACAAAATCTAAGTACTATATAAAGAATAATATACCATATCCAGTAACTTCTAGAGCAAGATTAAAAATTTAGGAATATGTTTTGATCAAGTCAGGTCTGACAACACTTACAAGTGATGATCTCATTCTTAAATTTCTAGACAATTGCTGATTTAAAGCCAGCTATTTGGTTTGTGTTCCTCCCCAGTTTTGAAGGCTTTAAAGTGACCACTGAATATCTGATCTTAAACTCACTTTATTTATATGTATGATAATCAACTTTTTAGCTCACCTGACCTGAAAGGTCAAGTGAGCTTTTCTCATCACTTTGCGTCCGTCGTCCGTCGTCCTGCGTCCGTCGTCCTGCGTCCGTCGTCCGTCGTCCGTAAACTTTTACAAAAATCTTCTCCTCTGAAACTACTGGGCCAAATTTAACCAAACTTGGCCACAATCATCATTGGGGTATCTAGTTTTAAAAATGTGTGGCGTGACCTGGTCAACCAACCAAGATGGCCGCCACGGCTAAAAATAGAACATAGGGGTAAAATGCAGTTTTTAGCTTATAACTCAAAAACCAAAGCATTAAAAGCAAATCTGACATGGGGTAAAATTGTTCATCAGGTCAAGATCTATCTGCCCTGAAATTTTCAGATGAATCAGACAACCCGTTATTGGGTTGTTGCCCCTGAATTGGTAATTTTAAGGAAATTTTGCTGTTTTTGGTTATTATCTTGAATATTATTATAGATAGAGATAAACTGTAAACAGCAATAATGTTCAGCAAAGTAAGATTAACAAATAAGTTAACATGACTGAAATGGTCAGTTGACCCCTTTAGGAGTTATTGCCCTTTATAGTCAATTTTTAACCATTTTTCGTAAATCTTAGTTATCTTTTACAAAAATCTTCTCCTCTGAAACAACTGGGCCAAACTAAACCAAACTTGGCCACAATCATCATTGGGGTATCTAGTTTAAAAAATGTGTGGCGTGACCCGGCCAACCAACCAAGATGGCGGCCACAGCTAAAAATAAAACATAGGGGTAAAATGCAGTTTTTGGCTTATAACTCAAAAACCAAAGCATTTAGAGCAAATCTGACATGAAGTAAAATTGTTTATCAGGTCAAGATCTATCTGCCCTGAAATTTTCAGATGAATCAAACAACCTGTTGTTGGGTTGCTGCCCCTGAATTGGTAATTTTAAGGAAATTTTGCTGTTTTTGGTTATTATCTTGAATATTATTATAGATAGAGATAAACTGTAAACAGCAATAATGTTCAGCAAAGTAAGATTAACAAATAAGTCAAATGACTGAAATGGTCAGTTGACCCCTTTAGGAGTTATTGCCCTTTATAGTCAATTTTTAACAATTTTTCGTAAATCTTAGTAATCTTTTACAAAAATCTTCTCCTCTGAAACTACGTGGCCAAATTAAACCAAACTTGGCCACAATCATCATTTGGTTATCTAGTTTTAAAAATGTGTGGCGTGACCTGGTCAACCAACCAAGATGGCCGCCACGGCTAAAAATAGAACATAGGGGTAAAATTCAGTTTTTGGCTTTTAACTCAAAAACCAAAGCATTTAAAGCAAATCTGACATGAAGTAAAATTGTTTATCAGGTCAAGATCTATCTGCCCTGAAATTTTCAGATGAATCGGACAACCCGTTGTTGGGTTGCTGCCTTTGAATTGGTAATTTTAAGGTAATTTTGCTGTTTTTGGTTTTTATCTTGAATATTATTATAGATAGAGATAAACTGTAAAAAACAATAAATGTCGGCAAAGTAAGATCTACAAATAAGTCAACATGACCGAAATTGTCAGTTGACCCCTTTAGGAGTTATTGCCCTTTATAGTCAATTTTTAACCATTTTTTCGTAAATCTTAGTAATCTTTTACAAAAATCTTCTCTGAAACTACTGGGCCAAGTTAATTATAGATAGAGATAATTGTAAGCAGGAAAAATGTTCAGTAAATTAAGATGTACAAACACATCACCATCACCAAAACACAATTTTGTCATGAATCCATCTGCGTCCTTTATTTAATATTCACATAGACCAAGGTGAGCGACACAGGCTCTTTAGAGCCTCTAGTTTTTCATGCAACAATGACAATGTGTAGGTGCAATATTGGAAACTTGAGAGGGAGTAATATCAAATTTGTATTACAGTGGTGTAGCACCAGTGTAGCATTGTAAGCATGTGCCTACAAATAATTAAAATTTTTTTTTTTTTTTTCAATAATAATTTTACTCTAAATTGTTCAGCTTCTCAGGGGTGGGGGCAGGCTGCCACTTCAGACCCCTTGCTTACAATTTATTTATGGTAAAATGATAGAAAAATCAAACATCATTATAGATATACATATACCTTTTCTGCAATTTTTTCATCTTCTTTCCCAACTCCAAAAACAAAAACATTGCAGTCGTTTCCAAATTGCTCTGAGATCATTTTGAAGCATTCTTCTTTTCCTAAAAATGAAATTGCTGTTAAAATTAAGTTTCAGATATGCAATGTGCTGATATGATTGCTTATCATCCTTTCCTTCGTCTATGTCAGCCTGCTCAGTCACTCCATAATTCTGGTTTTACAGCTGTGAGACATTAACAGACATAATCAAAAACATCACCATGAATGAGGAGAAGTTTAATCAATGAGTTCGGAGACTTTATCACTAGCTTACATTCGTCAAGCCTAAAACTTTCTAAGGGAGGTGGAAAAGAATAGTAATAGAACAATAAATAGATTATCTGGTTTTCTATGTAATCAAAAGTATTGCTCAACACAATGTGAAGCTTTTTTTCTTGATCGCTGTAATTACAGACTAGTTAAAAACTGTAACATGTATGGACTATTAGCAATATAACACAGTGTAACCTATGATGACCTATGTTTGCTCACATCCACCTCATTTGGTCTCTGGTGGATAGTTGTTTCATTGGCAAACATACTACATCTTCATATTTTTATATTATGTATTGTTATCCGAATTTCTTTACATATGGGTTTTGCTCATTGTTGAAGGCTATACAGTGTCCTGTAGTTGTTTACATTCACATCATTTGGACTTGTGGATAATTTTCTCATTGGAAATCATGCCACAAAAATTCTTATTATTACAGTATTATTTTCTACAATTTTTATCATAATTTTGTTCTTTAAAAGCTTAAACTTTCATTACGGCAAGTGAATTTTTTGTTTGATTGCTTTCATATTAAAGTGAAAATATCTTGTCCTTTTCCAATCAATAAGTTAATTTGTAACATTTTTATGCATTCATAAAGACTTTGGTCCGCTCTCGCATTTGGATATTTTAACCCGGAATGACCCGGAATGACCCACGTTTGTATTTCTCTGGCTTTTTCTATACTGTCAATGTAAGTAAACAAACAATTAGCGATCATTTGAATATGTTGGCCAGTAGTTTTTATGTTCTATTTATAAGTAATCGAAAATCATTTCTGCTATGTCAACTCCAACCAGATAGAGGTCTTTGTCTGGACCAAGCGGCAGTTTAAAAATGAAGAAATTTAACTACAAATTTCAAGCAGATTAGATTTACAATTTTCAATTTTTACGACCAAGTTCATTCCGCAATGAATCTTCATTTTGCACATTATGTTCAATCAACGGTTGCCTCTGGTGGTCTGTACGATGGTTAAAAGCGTGCTTAGTGTGAGACTCACAGCAAAATCATAATATGAATTGTTATGAATTATGAGACTCAAGGGTATTGAATACCTGAAAAAGGCAAAACAAAAAAAAACAACCTTATATAGATTATAACCATGAATTGAAGAAATAAAGTATATTTATTAACTCTTATTGATGTTTTATAGATGAATTAGTAAACAGGTCATATATTTACCTTGAAAATGTCGTTCGCACAAAATCTCCCCCTCAGCTGTCATAGCTGAGGGGGCGATCTGCCTCTATGAAGGTTTCAGAAGTTGGCAGGTATGGGAAAATTAGTTTTGCAGAGGAAAAGAGAGATGTTTAAAAAAATATATCAATACATGTACTAGCATATTATGTCATTGACATACTGTCACTCATGATTATTTAACCTAATGTTAAATTTTCCATTTTTTGTAAAACAGTTCAATACATGTCTATTTACCAATATTGGCTGTACTATAAATATTTTCTATCTTGAAGATGTTTCCCATCTGGAACAATAACACATGTGCTAACGCTGGTATTAGATGACTAGTTGTATATAGAATATTCACACATGATGACCTGCATAATAAAAACTTTTTTTAAAAATGAATTAAAATATGCTGTAAAATAATTATGAATAAAAGGAGAGGTGTCAAATATGTCAATGAAATGGCATTCCAATGACACAAATAATTGGACATTTAGAGGGCAACATGCAGTATTCAATAACAGACAGGTGTGGCACCTATACATGTAGTGTTAGACCCCAAATTGTACAAGTGTTGATTTTTTTTTTTAAATGGTCAGTTCATTTTTGTTAGCCTGCAACACATGTTCCAGAATGTGAGACATAGAGATGCTATACCAGTGCTCTTATCAAAGCTTAATATTTTAGAAGGTAGAAGAGCTGGATTATCCATATCTGGTATACAGAATGATGTCTTATGGTCAGAAGTTTCCATCTTGCATAATTATACTCCCGCTTTAAAAAAGTGGGGGTATACTGTTTTACCTCTGTCTGTCTGTCCGTCCATATGTCCATCCGTCCCATGAATATATTTTGTCGCATCTTTCTCAGGAACTACATCATAAGGATTTCTGAAATTTGGTTTCAGGGTTTATATAAGTTAGCTATACTGTGTGATGCGTTTTCAGATTCATCACTCAACAACAAATGCATATTTGGGCGGGGGTATCAGTAGCTCGCAGTTTCACTTGTTATGTCAGTTGTTCATGGTTCAATGACCACTTAAAAAAATGCAACGTTTTTTTTTAATCACATGATTTTCCACCTTAAAAGTAATAAGATGGCCATATTTATCAAACTCGCTTCTTTGAAGCAAGGTACAAATTTCAAATATTTTATATAGCTAAATCCCTGTGTCTTACCTAGAGTTGATAATTTGTAGAGATGTAATTGCTTCTGAAAGCCATTTATCTCTTAATGCTTCCATATTTTGTTTGACATAAGACCACTGTTGATGTTTCTCTTCGTTGATCAAATCTGAAATATGTATGCAAATAAGCCTTTTATTTATCTTTAAAAATAAAATATATGAAAATCTACTTAGTCTTTATGAATGCAGCTGACCAATTTTTTCGGTAGTGATCTTTTCTGTTAACATGATTTTCAATCAAAAGTTTGCCGAAGTGAGTGTTCCAGATCCATGAAACATGCTTATGCAGTACTTGGAAATTATGAATAAAAGAAGATGTTGGGTATATTTCAATAAGACAGATACCTAACAAAACATAAAGACTTGATGCTACAATTTTTAATAAAAAAAACAATATGTTACAATATACTGTACAAAAATGCACATTTAAGATTAATCAGCAAAACCTACCATCAATATTCTGCCTGCATTTCTCACAATAAGATTTCTTTACTTTTCTACATAAAGAAGCTAGTTTGTAGAATCTTTGTTTTTCTGACGCTGACATGGTTTCATTAGTCTGGTGACTAGATTTTTCTGGGTCATCTGAAAAATTAGATTGTCTGAAATAGAAATGAACAAGTATTTTTAAATGACTGTTTTGAAATAGTGTTTTTGAGAAAAAGAAGACTTATATAGTATTGGTACTTGTACATATTTGAAGATCATACTGTAATCTCTTTTAAGTTTTTGTATTACTGGATTACTTATTATTTAGAATCTTTCACAATTCATGGAAGGCAAGGTATTGAAGATTTTGTCAAATATAAATAAAATTAATAGTCAAGATATTGATCGGAAGATTGGTGTCGGCTTTCCTTACCTTTTTATAAAAAAATATTTTAATGGTCTACACGAAAGTTAAATTTATGTTCCGTTCAATGCAAAATTACTGGTTAAATATTAAATTTTCAGGTGACCACTGTTATGTGTAAATATACCAAAATGTTGAGACAAAGTTAAAGGGCAACTGACAAAGTGGACACTTTCAGAACTAGTAACCCTCAAATATATTGGATGTGTAATTATTTAAGGAACAGATTAAAATATTTTAATAGGGAAATAATAAAATCAAGTATATTTGATAAATTTTCTATGACTTTTTAAACTTTAAGGAATCTTGTCAGTCAGTGTCTGTTCATGAATGTAGAATAAAATGACAGATGAGAAATTATGTACAGAAATATCTTGATTTACAAGTTACTTATATAGTAATGAAAATTAATTACCTCTCAGTCTGTCCAGTATCTATCAGAGGATTGTCATAAACATTCTTTATTTCATAATGCTGGAAACAAAATATAAGAATGACAAATGATAGCATATTATGAGTGATCAAGTATAATTAACATTCCTCCATAAAAAAAATAGGCAGTATAATAAAATTCAATATTTTAGCATGGGTATATATATTTTTTCCAGTTTTTTTTTCATATAGCTAGTATTTAAATAAGATAGTACATGTATTTAGTAAGTTATCTCCTCTTCCTGTGAGATTTTAAAGTGAATTTATAAAATTTACCAAAATAGAAATTAATTTTTGTGCATAAATATTAAATCTAAATATAATTTTGCAAACCATTTTTGTTACATTTGTTTGACTTTTAATGAAAGTTGAGGGGAATTCTTGGGTACCCAAGCCTTGTGGAGGATTTAAGAAGTGGTGTCTTCATTTCTGTATTCATTAATTTTGTTTGGCCATTTTTTCTTTTCAGTAAAAAAAAGATAATTAATTCTTTAACCCTGATAATTCAGACCCTCCCCATAATTTATCTCTTCTACTCAAGAAGCCTGCATGCCCTCTTTATACAATTAAAACCTATCACAAATTCTAGATTTTGATTGGCAATCATCTAGCAGTCCAATGTTATCATGATGGGTATAAATCCCAAATTATACTTGGAATGATTGATAGACTATTTTTCTTTGACTTATGTAGGTATGACAGTTGGCCATCAAAGAGGAGCCGAATTTAACGACTGAATTATTAAGGTTTATAATACTTCTGATAAATGAAAATGTAAATTTACCTGCAAATCTTTGTAGTTAAAATGTGCTTCTGCTAAATCTAATACCAAGTCATCAATTTCTTCCAACAAAACTTCCTACAATTTAAAAAAAAAAATCTTTACAATATATACATTTTTAAACTTCTTTATTTACCAAGTTCATGACACTATAAAACAATTTATTTATGTTTTTTTTATCCAATTAAGCATCTAATACTTAATTAAATGTACTTTTTTGTTGATCCCAATGGTTGACTTGAGGGTATAGAAATATTGTCATTTCTGGCCTGCGTTTGGCTGTAAGGATTGAATAAATATATATATAATGCATGCTGAGCCATTTCTTGTCAGAACAAGGATGCTAAATTTAATGCCCTGTGTTGGGTGAGTGCCTTTACAAGTAAAAGAACCCTTGCAACAACTCTCTGAATGGTCTGTTGGTGGATTTTGCGTGACAAAATATCTGACCAAGTCCAACATACTCAATTTTTTCAGGGCTAATCCAAATGTCCCACCCTTTATCTTGGTTGACCTACCTATTATATTTATTGCTAATTTGTTCTCTTCCTGAATATGCATGAAATAATTGCCACTATAGGTAAAGCATGCAACAATCAATCAATCATTGTTTATACCTATCAAACATATATATACAACTGTATTGAAAAATGTTAAATACCCCTTTTTCAATAGAAAGCATAGACTGGGTCTGTCAGGAGTGGTTAACTTGTCAGGTTGTAATTTCTTCATGCCAAATTAACTGTTATCTAATGTAAGTTACCAAGCCAAAATTGGTCTCAGTGTGTCTATCTCTTAACAGATGGGGTGGACAAGGGTAAAGGAAAATGGGAATGAGAGGATGGGAAGCGAAAGTCAGGGGGTGTGAACTCAGGGAAGGCCGGGGGAATAAAAATAGGGATATGCTGGAAAGAAAATTTTGACAGATTTTCTTCTGGGAGTAAAGGGGAGGGAAGTGGGAGTTTGGGGTAGAGAAGTGGGAATCAGGGACCTCCTGTCCACCCTTTCTTACAAAGCTGGGTTTTTATTCATATCACATTCACGTGCAACCATTCATGCATAAATATTTGATGCTGGAGGTTGTCATCATTAATCAATCAATAGTTTATTAGAACCTCCCTAAACCCTATTTATTATTTACCTTTTCCTTATCTCCTTGGTAAGACTCTGTCATTAGAGTTTTGAAAATGTCTAAATTCCAAATAAAAATGACATCTTTCTGCACTGCAGGTCTGGGAGTGAGAATTTCCAACTCCTCACTTCCACATGGTTGTACTGAAAAAAAGCATACACTTATTAAAAAAAATCATTGTAATAACTTTGCTCATTACAAAATGTATGTCTGAGACTACTATAGTCTCAGATTATGTGCCCTTTATTAGGAAAAAAAAATCTTCATCTTAATCTTTGTACATGCTGATTTGAATACAAAAATGAATATTTTTTTTATTAGCTAATTCAATTATCACAGGATTTAAAACATTATTACAGTGAATAAACTATTTACAGTTGTATTCTACATTTCATGATATTGACTGTCTGTATGGGTATTGGGTCCGTTCACCCTGATTACATGTTCGTCCTCACTCTGTTTGCCCTGAGTCTGTTCGCCCATAGAGTCCATACACCCTGGGTTCTTTCGCCCTACTTTAAAATATTTAATATAGTGGTATTAAGGTTTAATAAACATATTCAGATATTTAAATAATCAATATTAAGGAAAATATCTATTCTTGAAATTCATTAAAAAAAAACTGGAAATATTTAAACATTAACGACTTGTTTTATGGAGCATAAATGGGCTTAATTCTTACATTTGTTTTATTTAGAATTAATTTTAATGAATGTTGATTGATATTTAGAATGCTAATTAGGTATAAGTATGATGTCTTTGAGCTCACTTATTTTTGTATTCATTGTCTTTCTATAGCTAGGATTAATAATGGAAGTAACATTTTTTTTTTAAATTAACTAGTCAGCTTGGAATGCCAGTAAAAAACGATGTACGATTTGTAAGACATCAAAGGGAATTTTTTCGTACACAGCTTGGTTTCTTTGATCTGAAGGTGAACAGGTACTAGGGCAAACGCCAATCAGGGCGAACGTCTGTATTGGACTATGGTGCACATGTTGCATGGGATTTCAGATAAAATTTTCTGATTTGGTGATGGAAAAGAGGTTTACCAAGGAAACCTTCCCAGGAACTAAGCAAATGCTACCTATTGACGCTGTGCTGTTTGCGGTTTGTGGGTATGTACACGTTATACCCATATTTAAAATGAAAAATAATCCCAAAGCTTCACTAGTAACAGGGGAGATAACCCTTCTGAACTAATAACCGCAAAGAATGTACAACGGTCTGTTAATCTCACAAGATCTTATTTCTATCAATGAGAATGTCGGCTATCAATGTATTATACGCTAAGAATGTGTCACAGCAAGAAAGTAAAATAAAACAACCTTACAAGACGTCATAATTATTTGGACTATCTCTGCTGATACAGTATCACGATGGTGCTCCTCTAAAATGAGGTTTATACTGAACATTCAAAAATACAGTACAGATCGTTATACGTCCCTTACCTGGACGTTCCCTGATTTTCCATGCCCGCCAGTTTCAAAAAAGATTTCTCACACAATCACGAGCTGTGCTAATGGAGAATTTTGGTAACAATTAAAGAATTGACAGTTTAAATAACTCTATGTTGACATGTTATAGTTGAAGGCATTAAGGTTGCCTATGATTGCTTACATTTCATTTTGTGGATAACGGGTAGTTGTCATATAACATTATCAGGTTATAACTGTATAACCATTAACTTTAAACTTGGCAATCATACCACACATCCTTCGTTGTCCTTATTTATAATGAGTCCAAACTAACAAAAAAAATTGAAAGTAAAGCACTATTTTTTATGAATAAACATATTAAAACTTTTATACAGACACCATAGGTATATAAAAGAGGGATGAAAGATACCAGAGGGACAGTCAAACTCATAGATCGAAAACAAACTGACAACGCCATGGCCAAAAATAATAAGACAAACAGACAAATAATAGTACAGATGACACAACATAGAAAACTAAAGACCTAGCAACACGAACCCCACCAAAAACTGGGGGTGATCTCAGGTGCTCCGGAAGGGTAAGCAGATCCTGCTCCACATGTGGCACCCGTCGTGTTGCTTATGTTATTACAAATCTGGTAAATAGTCTAATTCGGTAAGTCACATTCGTGAAAAGGGAAGGGTATTGTAGTTACGACATTAGGAACATATCTGATATCATCTGTGAAACAGTTATTCCATAATATATGGAATTCTTTACCTGGCACCTCATATAAAATGATTATGTATGATACAGAAGCTGGACTAACTGGTTGGTGACTTCATAAAATCTCACATATCTGAAAATTTGTTCAGTGACAGAAAGTTCTGTGATTTATTTGTTTTACCTACATGTACCTGGATTACTGCAGCAAACTTCTTTAGCCGCCTTTTAATCAAACTTTATAATTATTATACAATTATTGACTTTTGTTGAGGTTGATAACGATACAATGATTTATCAACCCAAGAGATTTGACATTCACCCTCAGCCTCGGTGAATGTCATATCTCTGGTTGTATCGTTGTATCAAACGAAATCAAAAGTCTAACAATTGTTTTATTATATGACTTTTTATCCTTCTCCAATTTTCAAGTATTTGCTCAAGATGCTTTTAAAACTGCTCCCTGTTTTTATACTCTATATATCATCTGCCTTTGCAGTAGCTAATTTTCATAAGTTAATATATTCAATAAAATTTACTAATAAAAAAATACATTGAAAACACAAAGAACAGAAAAAAATACACCTAAATGAAGAAAAAATCAGGAATTTGCATGACGCCATAAATCAACGTCATCGACGTTGCCTTGGAATATCTCTATTAAGGTACACGGATGCTGTTCCAAATCTTATATTAACCCCTTATGATTTTTTCCACGGTGAATATAATGTTTAATCAAAGAGGATTTCCTATGCAGCTTTTAGCCAATAAGAAAACAGAAAATTTATAGTCATATACATTTAATAATATATACTATTACACTACGAGCTGTGCGCTTAGAAAGGATAACTTATATTCCTATTCTAGTTAACAACAGTATTTACATGATTTAAATTGTATCAATTAAGAGATTCTAATTAAAAATTTAAAATAACTAATATTTATCATCTATGTTGGATTAAAATTCATTTCATTCCAGTTTTCCTCTTTAATACGATTTTTAAAGACGTGAACAAATTTTACACTAGCTAGCAGATTCTGTTGACAGACTATTCCATTCATTAATGATCCTATGTGGAAAAAGTATGACGACATTGAGTTGAATTACACCTCTTCTTATTCAATTTCCAAGGATGACCTCTAGTAGAATTTCTAGACAACTCAAATAAATTTTGCCATTTGATATCTTCTATCTAGTCTAAAGCTTTATACACTTGTACATTTAACACATCATAACAATCTGTATTCAAGTGTTGGTAGGCCTAAGGTTTTCAATCTTTCTACATAACTTAAATTTCTTATACTTGGTACCAGTTTGGTAGCATGGTGCTGTATCTGTTCAATTTTCCTCATATCCTTCTTTAAATATGGGGACCACACTTTGTGGAATATTCCAACAACGGACATATTCTTGATTTAAATAAAGTAATAAACATATCTTTTTCCAAATAGGTGAAAGAAATGTGTATACAGATTAATGCTCTGACAGACTCTGAGCTTTATTCACACAGTTTTGTCTGGATCTGTTTAATATTTTTTAAAATAGACAGACTAAGCAACAGCATCTACCATCTTGCTTTATTCATGGGGCCAAACTTGACAGCTGTAATAAAAAAAAAACACATTTCCATTAAATTTGATACAGTGATACAATGTATCTACATAAGTAACGAAAAGCTCAAGGACATCGCTTTTATTTAATTAAAGATCTAGTCAAAGTTTAATTTGATGCTTGGTTGCACAATGCATCATCTTGGTTTAGCACTTTTTATCTCCAAGTGTATCTGGAAGTTCAATCAGGTAATCCTGTGTAGAAAAATCCATTTCAACAATCTTTTGCACTTTTGTCATTTGTTAGTTTAACAAACATCAAAGGATAGAAACATTTTGACATTTTGCAAATAGCCAAGTTAACTTTGAACAAACAAATGATAAAATCTGAGTTTTCCAAATAAACACTATCTAACAAGTTTTAAAGTGGTAAAATTTAAACAGTGCGTTTTTTTACACATTGTATTTATTTTGGTCTGCCAATAAATTCAAGCCAGCGGCAGATTTTTGGCTTAAACTGCTTTTTTCTGATAACTGGAAAGTTAGTATTTCTTTGCCTAATTTTTTTTCTTTAAATATCTATTTTAGAGACAGAAATAACAGAAAATTGTTTGATAGGAATACAGCTTATAAGTGGTGGTAGGACTGAAACTCAGACATGTCTTGGTGTTGTCATGGTAGCAAAGAATGAAGATTTATCCCTGCACAACTTGAGAACTCTGATGTATTGTCAAGTTGCAGCTCTACCAGAAACTTTCATATTCTGTACAAAGCAGGGGTATTTGTATTTTATGACTAAATGTCAGATTATATCCTTATCATTTTTATTTTTTTAAGGGGGATAAATGAGAGTTTAAGTTAATGGCACCTTCTAATACTTAACAATAATGACCTCTCAGTTATAAATTAAGGAGTGTAATAAGTAAACCACTTGTTTAACTGTACATACATATACATGTACGACAAGTTACTGACATAGAAACATACATGTACATGCAGAAGAGGATACTTTAAATTCAGAAACTATTGCCATGTTTTTATTATTTAAAAGAATGCGATGGAATTGATATTTCATTTATGAGAACTCACATTTTCAATTCTTCAATTTTAAAAACAACATTAGAAAAGTGTAGTTATCTATTTTAATCAGTCTATTTGCTTAATTTGCCTGTGCTAAAAACTAGACAGATGCAAAGAAAATATCATGTGATACGACCTATAGAAAATGTCATATGATATGACTTTTTTCTACCTCCATAGTAAAGCAGGAACTATCTGGGAACTTTCCTATCTGTCATTTATCTGAAACTATTTTTATTTCAGTTGGAATATTAACCAGAACTTGGAGAACTCAGTTTTTGTAAAACAAATTGTATCAGAGGAGTGCTCATTATTTATACAGAGATATTTCGGTAAGATGTTTTTCATTTGTTAGCTGGGAGTACTGTTTGTTCAACTTATGTAGCTGTAATTAAAAAGGGATATGTGCATGTCAGAATATATATGAGGATATAGAATTACATTTAATGACATCTTGGTGTAAATATAGTCTGAATATATTTTGCATTCTAAATATACATAATACATGTATCTATTGCATTTTTCCAAAAGTCAATATCATGCCATTTTCCAGTTGATTTATTTTCTTAAAAGGGGGTCTTTTATATTCTCACCTACTGATGAAGTGGGTTTTTTTCACTCAGGAAACTGTCCAAAAAAATATGATCTTGTAAAATGACTAAACTATATATTTGTTAACACATTGACGATTTCAAAATTGTAAACATTGACATTAATTGATATTAATCCACAAAAAATACAATGATTTCACAACTACCATATAATTATAACCTTTATCTTTGAATCTATTCAGCCAAAAAGAAAGATTTGAAGGACAATATGCTTGTTTGCTTTATAGATGATAGTTTATTGATTGTCATGATTGTAGAGACACCATGTATTGGAATTAGACAGAGGTCTGGAGAAAATCTTGGTATGGTGTTTGTTGATCTCCATTGTGTTTTGTCAGATGTACGACAATCTATTCAATCACAGGTAACATTCAGTAAGATATTCTAATGAAAATGCAAGGTCTTTGTGTTGCAAACCTTGGAATTTCATGTAAAATATTTTACAAAGTTTACTAGTTTAATCATTTGAAAATTTAATAGCAGGAAACGGCTTATGATTTATTGAAAAATACTGTACAATGTGTATTGCAATATTTGAGATGGTGTAATACCACCATTGTTTTTCCACTATTAGTATTTGTTAAATTTGCACTTTTCAAAAAATTGTGCAGAAATTATCTTTGTTTCAAATATAAAAATACTTGGAAGGAGTAAAGTTTTATCCTGTTCAGTACTACAGACAAAATTTCACGTAACATTTCATTGCATATAAGATAATAACCATCACTGGAAGTTAACCAATCAAATTTTCACCCGTTTTTTTTCCTGTGTACAAGCTTTAGTAACCATGTAACCTCAAGTTTCCAAAATATTCTATAGAAACACCAAATAAAAAAAGGATGGTGCTTTGAAACACCCAAGATATATGTTTATGACTCAGTATTTTTTTACTGCAATGAAATGTAGGATTGATTTCCTACATCTGTCAAATTCAAAGGAATATTTTTTTTCAACCCTTTTTCGTATGCAACCGGATGTGGCGTACTATGATTTGGTGGTATTACACCAGAACACAGAACTAATTGCAGCATCACAAATATATTTCTGAATATTTTTTTGTTTTACTAGTTATCATGCATAGAGTGTATGATGTACTATATCTGGTATTTTTTTGCAGTATATATATTGGTCATCAATTTTATACATTTATACTATATACTCAACTTTTAATCCAATTTGTAACAGGAAAATTGTTTTATACACACTTTGAACATGATCAGTATGGGGGGAGTTTTCCTTATGGATAGGTTTAGATTCACACAATTTGAGCAAAAAACCTTCCCTTTTGTCGCCAGTTTGGAGGTTTTAGTGCTTAATTTCCATCATTTATCAGCTATATTCAACTTTTTAAACTAACTGCTAGACTTTAGAAAAAGTTTTTTTCTGAACAGTTTTTATTTCTTTCATCCTTTTGTAGTTCACCAAAACAATCTAGTAAGGATATCTTATTAGGCTTTAATATGTGTATGGCATGTTTCAACTCAGCTAGTCAAAAAAGAAAATCAACCATTTATTCCTCTTAAATGGCGACCACAGGAAATATCTCAAACTCAGATTACTTCATTCGAAACCCATCTATAGGCGGATCACAATCGTTAAGAACACTACAGTTTACATTGTCATATTCACATGTAATAATTTTTTTAAATAAATATACAAACAGTTAATTTTATATAATTTTAAGAATTATTCAAAGAATTTCTTCTTATCATGCTAAATAATGTATTTTAATAGAATAATAAATGCACAAAAACATTCAATTAGTTGGGTCTATGTATAAAAAATGTTTGTGCTATTGAAAGAGTGCAGTTTAGTTTACAAATTGAATACAAATTGTTTATTAGTCCTGAAATTTCAAATCTATATGCCTTTCCAAAAATGAACAAAATAAGGGTCAAGAGTACAAGTACAAGATTTGCTATCTATATATGCGGCAAAGTTGAGATAATATTCAACTTTAAATCAGATAATTATAAGAATTACCTACGATGTAACAAAATATTTAGGAATATAAAAATATATAGGTAATAATGAAAGTTGCAAAAATAGTGTGCATGTGAGAACTTACTAGATCCTTCAAATCAAGTTTGTCTAGGTGACAAACATATCTCTTACTATTTGAAAGTCATTTCAGTTGAAACATATCAATTATTTTAAAAAGTGCAAAATTCATTAAATTTTGTAATACTTCAGTTTTTGTTACAAATAATTAGATATAAGAAGATGTGGTATGAGTGCCAATGAGACAACTCTCCATCCAAGTCACAATTTATAAAAGACCATATTACAGCTTTTCTTTTTATGCAAATTCAAGAACATTGAAGAAAGGAAGGTACCTTTTTCAAATTATGAAAAAGGAAAACTAACATAACGGAAGAAAAGTTTATAGATGATCCTTAATATGACAATTTTCTATTTATTTATAGATGACAGGAAGTAAGCTCTCAAGACAAAACTACTGGTTCCTGAAACACAATGCCTGGCCAATTAGCTGTAAGCAAGAGAGTCAGTTGAAAGTCATTGACATAATTGAAGATTCCTGTCTCATTGTTGATGTTCAGACATTCCTTACACCAAGCAGTTCCCCACTGACTCCTAGTCCCCAACCAAGGAAGAAAATTAAAGGGTAAACACAGCAGTTTATTGACAAAAAACTATCTATAATAATTGTTACTAATTTACTTTTTGTAAAATTAAAAAAAAAAGGTTCTTGTTGAGAAATATTTCCAAACAAATTTCTTGTTTATAAACAGTTTTATCCCCCCACCGTAGCGGAGTGGGCATTAAATTTTACCCTTGTCCGTCAGTTCATTTGTACTTCTGTACGTACTTCCCAAATTGGTTTCTGTACTCTAACTTTGGTTTGCCTCAACCAAATGTTATGAAACTTATACACAATGCTTATTACCACAAAACACAGATCAAGTTTGAATTTGGGTGGTGTCACTTTTACTGATCTAGAGTTATGCCCCTTTACAAATGAAAAAAAATTGCTGAATTTTTTGTTTCTGTTTTCTAACTTTAGTTTGCCTCAACCAAATGTTATGAAACTCATACGTGTGCTTATTACCACAAAACTCTGATCAAGTACAAATTTGGGTAGCTTCACTTTTACCATTCTTGAGTTATGTCCCTTTATAACATTATATGCAAGCGGGGGCATCATCTGTGTCCCATGGACACATTCCCCATTTATTTTTATAGTAATTGTAGGTAAACCTCTGATGTGCCTATGATAATCTGCATGATTAACACATGCAAATATGTCATATCATTGCTGATTTTAGTTGTGCTGAGTCTGTTTTTTTTTTTTTTTTTTTCCTTTTAAGCAACTTGATTTTTCTGTACTGTGACAGATATTTTTACCCATGTCTTTCGTGTAACTGTGAGTACTCAATGATTATTTCAGAATATTGCTCAGATGACAGTGATTTCAGATATCAAGGCTTTTAAGAGTTATATACTTTTTTGTGAAGAAAATGAACAAATGATATGTTTATGTACGCGTTATATGACATGTGAAGAAACCATTGACATAATCTTTATTTTTTGCAGCACTCGACATTTATCATTTCGTACCAGTAAGGACCTGGATAGAAATCAGATTGCTGATTCGTGTGTAACTGATGAGAAACAAATTTTGATAAGTTATGTACGTGCAGATGCAGCACATCATGCTCTAACCCTTAAACAAGAGTTATCTTCTCTTGGTTTTAGTGTCTATCTTGTAAGTATGGCTGCTGACAAACAAAAATATACATAAGCTCTGTTTACAATTGAATGTGAATCTTATTGTTTAACAAGTTGAGAGTTATCATCATTTGTTTGCAATATGAATTTTGAATGCAGGAGCCCTATAGTTTTCACTTTGTCAGTCTGTTTATCTGTCCATCAACAATTTTTGTAAACACAAAAATTCCAAAATGAAATTTTGTATAGTCGTTTTGCAATTATTATAGATATGAACATTTTTTTTGGTGAAAATTGAAATAGAGTTTAAGGAAAAAATTAGTTTTTGTTAAAAAAGCACATATTTTTGAGAACACCCTTTTTGTAAAGGCATAATCTCCAAAAGTATTAAAAGAAGTAGAGCACAATTTTGTACTTCTTGTGAATCATATGTAGATGGTCAAATCATTTTGTTTTTGTGAAAATTGAAGAGAAATGGAGAACTTTGCAGTAAAAACCTCAAATTTTGAGAAACTTCTAATGTTGTGCTTGGATTTCAACAGAAATTGATATATATATATGTGTATATGAATAATATGCTATTCCAAATGATACTGTGTGTTTATAAGTATATGTTCCCACAATTTTTAGAAAGATTAATACTTAGAAATTGATGGAAAAGATGTTTTGCTTGTAACAGGAAATCCAAGAAAATTGATCAGCCAGAAATGTATGGCTTTGTTTGCATCAGTATTAATTGTTTGTTTTTGTGCCTCACAAAAATTTCCAAGCAGATCCCTAACTGACATGTCAGTTAATAAATTATGTTATTTACCAGGATGTACATGAAATCACATCAGGTGTGGATTGGCAGGATTCTCTCAACGATGCTGTGAGTAATTGTCAGGTGTTTGTGCCATTAGTCACACCAAAGTATGGAGAAACTTTATGGACAAATAGAGAGGTTAGTTTAAAAAACTTTTTTTCCTAATGTCAGGGAGTAGTAAATCACCAAATAGGATAGTATATATGTGAATGAGGATTAAAGCTACCATACATGGTGCATATATTATTTTTAATAATTGTAAAATGGTACTACCCAGTTACTACACATGCATATAGTTAATCATGGATATTTAATTTATATTAAACTTCCTACCTTTATATACACTTTTCCTCATCTCATATATCTCTAAAATTAAAGAGTATCCTTAAGTTTATTTTGTCTAAAGATATAAGTTTCTGTAAAAGCCAACTACATCTTCTAGATATCCCCAATATATATATGTAAAATAACACTTTCTCACTTGGTCTTAAAGAAAAAAATCTGTTTCTTAATGATGTAAGAGTGTAGGACATATTTTTTTCAAATCAACATGTTAACCTGGCTTTCATTAACTGTAAGCATTCTTTAATACGTTATGAAGATGGCAATCACGGAATTTTAATATTAAAAGAATGAGAAGTTTGAAAATGTTCAGCATTATTTTTTACAATATGAAAAAACAACTTGAAACTAAGAAATTGGACATCATACATTTTTAATAGTTTGAAAAAATATTAAAGTTGTCTTTTCTTGCCCTAACACATTTATGCATACTTTCCATCTGTAGATAAAGTTAGCAGATGTTTTAGGAAAGTACATCATTCCAGTCAGTTTTCTGTCAGACTGGCCACCACCATGCCTTGCAATACAATTTTCTACAACACAATATATCAGCTGGACTACTAATAATACAGGTACTGTTATATTTTTGTGTTGTAATATTTTGGTGTTGTTTACCAGAAAAAAAAGTAATATTTAAATTATAGCTCTTTTGAATACTTCCTTTTCATTTTCTCATATGGAATTCACTGATAACTTCGTTATAGGTGATTACTGTAGATTCATTATTATTCGTTGGCTACCAATATTCTTGGATTTCGTGGGTAGAGGTGAACAATGTATTTAAGTGTTCAACGTAGGTCAAAGTACGATTTTTTTTTTACTGTGACTTGACTATGGGTGTTACTGTTTACCTGTACCTATTGCTCAACCAGATTGTAATATTGACAATACAATTGGGACATTTAAACTGACCAGTTGGTTTTGTTAGATTTAAATCTACCTTGATGCTACCTGTAAAGATTTTTATTCACCTAAACAAAACTTTCAGCAAGCTTTTTTCCTGAAGTTTTTCTTAACCTAGGATTATTCTTTAAAACAAATTGAAAGGGAAGAAAATATTTTTGATCACTCATGTATTTTAATTTAGAGTCTACCTGGATGCTGTCCTATCACTTCACCTGTTTAATTGTTACTGTTGTAGTATAAATGAGATAGGTTTTTCAAAACTTATAAATATGGCATCAACAGGTTGGGAACAAACCCTCTATATGGTGTTTATACCTCTATAGAGGGATAATCCTTCTATAGAGGGATAAAATTATCCCTCTATAGAGGGGTATATTTGTTAAGACTGGATTTAAAGCAAAATAGGGCAGAATGGTATTTTCTAGTTATATTGGCTATAATCTATAGCATTATATGCATCAATTATTGCAATTTACTAAAAATTGGGATGCCCAGTTTTCTGCTAATGTGACAGAACTTGCAATCTATTGTATATCTATCTGAACACCTGATCAACAACAAAAGGGACAGTTGACCTTTAAATTTTATGTTAAATCTAACAATAGAAATTCTGATCAGTGAGTCATAACAGTGGAATTTACCTGATCATCACAGCTTTCAATTATGGTGAACAATAGATTGTATATTCAGTCAGTTTAGCAGTAAACTGGGCATGTGCATATTAAATTAAGCACATCAGTTGATGCATCAAATGTTGCAGGTTACTGCCATAATAAGTAGAAAATGCCATTCTGCCCTATTTTGCTTTAAATCCTGTCTAAACAAAAATACCCCTCTATAGAAGGATAATCCCTCTATACATGTATAAACACCATATAGAGGGTTTGTTCCAAACCTGATCAAGGCTTCAATGTTTATCTTTGTTGAATAACATAATATGCATTCAGTCTAAATTAGTTTATATGGTATGAATAATGCTAGAATATGACCACTTATATATGATAACTAGACGCAAACTTATTTCATGTTCTTGTATTTACTAAAAACTGCGGATTTAATAAAAAACTCCTTTTATCATGTTTTTTTATTAGAGAATCCAAAAACAGGTAAAGAAATAAACATTGTTATTAGTCTTTTTGTTATTGAAATGGTTGTTTTCAATGAAATAATTGGTCATACAAATGCCAAAAAAACACAACATTTAGAAGGAAAAACAGATTTTTATTTTACTGTCATTTAAAATTTTAGGAGTAAGCAAGCCAGATCAAGACTATATGTTTTTTTGCAGGGAATTTAATTGCATGTCGTATAATTCACTACATTTCCTCTTAATGTTTTCATAGTCAAATACTATGAGTGCTTGGATTTCTTGTATATTGTTGAAAAAAAACCTTTTTAATATCTCTTTGGATTTTTCTAATGGGAAATAACTCAAAATAATTTGTTTTTGCTTCTCTGGAAATCTGAACTACTTGACTTATTTCCAGGATTAATAAACACCAGAACAACTGTGTGCATTCCTTCATTTAGACATTTGGTTTTACACTTATTGACATGTTCCTTGTACAAATTGTTTATGCATATTCATATTGAAATATCAAAATCATATTTGAATGAACTATTTTATTTACTCTAATATTGACACTGATATTTTACATCTCATCCAGTATTCCATTTTCTTTATCTGAAATAATTTATAACATTTTCCTAATTTTATGAAAGTTTTCGAATATTTGTTTACGTTTTTCACTATATAACTAGATTTTCTCTCTATATCCATATTCTGTTTAATTTCCCATGATATATATAACACCAAAAACAGGTACAGAATTTTGCAATATTTGATTATTTCCATTATCATATTTAAAATGATTATCCTCACTTTACAAATATTTTGGATAAGTTTATTCATATATTTTGCACTATATCACTTGATTTTACTATATCCACAGTATTGAGTTTTTATTTCATTTACCAAAGTATATGTTCCAATTAAACAATATTAGATCCAGAACTTTATAATGATTATTTCCAATTTCACATTCACATTATCCAAACGTTAGGAATATTTTGGAATATTTTACTTTTTCTTTTCACTTTATCACTACATTAGACTATATCCACTATAAGAATTTAACATTTTGTTTCATTTCCATGATATTTTCCCATTTAAACAGGTGAATCACTCTTATAATATATCCCAAAATTTATAATGAATGTTTTCAAAATTGCATTTAAAGCCACAGACACAAGTCATGTTGAAATTATTTCTCCTTCTTGCATTCAAGTTTTGATTTTTTATAACCTTTTAGATAACTAAATCCATACTATGCAAATTGAATTTCCTTGAGTGAACACAGTATTTTTTGCACAAAAGTCCTCTTATAATAGATTACAAAGAAAAACACTGCAAGGTATACTCCAATATTATTATGAATTTTACATGTACATCATCATGTTAAAGCCACACAACACATTTTGAATGAATTAATTCCCTCTTGATACCTTCATGACAATCCATTCTTGGAAAAAACAAGTCACATTTTATGAAGCAAAATTACTATAAAAAGGCATCTGAGAAGTGAATTCAAATAAAATGAATCCAATATGTTATGCACATTGATTCCAATAGATTTCAAATATTTCAAATATCATAATCCAAAATGAAAATCTTGAAGGGACATTATAAAGAAATGCACAACATATCCATCTGAAAATTGAAACTGAAAACACCTGAATAGCTACTTCTTGTTTCACTGACAACTGGACAATACCATGTATAAGGGTTAAAAATTTAAAGATTCATATATTATGTAAAAACAGTTTTCATTTTCATACATATTAATATGCAGTTAATAAAATATTTTACTGATTAAGATTTTTTGGTAAATTTTAGAAATATTATCAATACTGGGGATTTAAAACAATGAAAACCAAACATATTTCTACCCTTTCAATTTTTTGATAGAATAATCCTAGGTCAAGAAAAACTTAATGCATGCTGAAGTTTATAACTTGTAAATGCTGTGTTTTTAATATATTTGGTCAGCACATGATGTCCCACAACCATTTGAATTCTCTAAAATCTATAGAAAGATGGATATTTTTATTTACAGCTGGTCAAATATTATTTGATAAGTGCTTTATCATATTTTTTGAATGTCTCAATAAAGGCTTTTAAAAAATTAGATATGAGTGGAAGCTCTATAACACAATATATGTTGGTTTTATGTCGTAGTTCATATCTTAAGTTAGTTTTGCTGTTACCATTAGATCATGTAATTGACTGATTTATTTTACTGTAACCACTTCTTTATTATACCCCCACTTTATACCCCGCTTTAAAAAATTGGGGGCATACTGTTTTACCTCTGTCCGTCCGTCCGTCAGTCTGTCCATCCATCCCATGAATATTTTTCGTCGCATCTTTCTCAGGAACTACATAAGGATTTCTGAAATTTGGTTTCAGGGTTTATATAAGTCAGCTAAACCGTGTGATGTGTTTTCAGATTCATCACTCAACAACTTCCTGTTTGCCGAACACTTACATCATTTTACACATGACATCCAAGTAGATGAACATTTTCGTTACATTTATCTCAGGAACTACATTACAAGGATTTCTGAAATTTGGTTTCAGGGTTTATATGAGTCAGCTATACCGTGTGATGCGTTTTCAGATTCATCATTTAACAACTTCCTGTTTATCGAACACTTACATCATTTTACACATGAAATTTATATATGAAGTCAAAGTTATGGTATTTATCAATTAAATCCATCCTAAATTAAAAGGTCTCCCACATGCAAATGTTATCCCTCTAGATCCTGAGTCATTTGTAATTCATTTATATCTATGCATGTTTATACCTAAAACATTGTGGTTTAAATATTCCAAATGCATATTTGGGAGGGGGTATCATCAGTGAGCAGTAGCTCACAGTTTCACTTGTTTGATATGTTTCTTCATAACAGACAAATCCACTATTTGTAGTTTCTGTTTTTTTCTGATAATAAATTATTTTCAAAAACATTATGTAAAACAGGAGGAACTTTATAATCATAGACTACCTACATGTATGTTGTTTAATTATGACAAAAACTGATTTGATACAGAATAGTGAAATTTTAATTCTTTTCATTGTTACAGATAAAAATAAGGACATATTTACATGGAAGAGTAAAGATCTCAAGTTTGTAGCCAAACAGATAGCAGAAAAAGTTCAGAAGTTCATGAACACAGACACAGATCTTCCTTCTCTAATAAAAAGGGTATTTTGAAGAAATATATGATAAGATAGGGTAGTTGTAAAAGGAAAAGCACATAAACAAAAAGTAATTTATATTTTTCAGTTTTAAGAGAAATTATAATATGAAAACAAGGCAAAAGGAAAAAAACATGAATGATATGTCTTTAAAAAAGAAAAAAACATCTTTTCCAAATCTGATACAGTCACAAGATATTAGGAGCACTAGTATCTTTTTCAGCTTTTCCCTTATGAAACCAATAGACTCTTTTGGTGGATAGTTGTCTCATTTACAATCATACCACATCTCCGCATTTGTCTATTGTATTGTAACAATTATCTGTACGAATGATTGTCTTTCTGTGAAGGCTAAGTACTGCTAAATATTCAGTAATGTTTAAGGTAGTAAAAAAAAATGATGTATCGAGTCAAGGTTAAATAATATGTCTACTTATATTAATGTATTTTATTTTGTTATAAAACTTTTGATTTTATCTTCTTTACCGGATATTGTTAACCAATGACTTAAAACACATTATAAATTGTTCAGTTTATATAATTCCATGTGTTTGAGAACTGGTCGTTAATATAGGTCTAATACAGAAAAACGGTTAATACAGAATTCTTACTGGTCTTGATATAGGATTTTAACTTCTGGTTTTTGGTTCAAAAAGGTATCAGAAAATGGATGCGTTATTACTCGAAATATTAGATTTCAACAAGTTTGATGTTAGAGTTGTTGTTATTTTTCATATGTAATACTATTTTTTTTTTGTATTAACAATTATGGACCATAGAAAAGGTGAATCCAAAATTGTCAACCATAAAAGATTATTACTCTGAGGGTGCATCTTGAAGTGAGAGAAATTTTTAACTGGTTAAAGAAACTCTTGTACATGTCTTATTGTAGTAACTAATTGTCAAACCACTTACATCAGAGAATTATTTTTGGGACTTAAAATGCCTCATACAACAAATGAAGACTCTTTCTGTAAAATATTGATAGTCCTGAAAATGGCCATTTGTGAAAGCTATCCTCGGCACCAGATGGATTTCAAATACTTGTTTCTTTGTCACTGCAGTCCACAGACTTCTAACATGGCTGGTGCCATTATGTTTATATACGCCAGTGACATCATTTTGATGGGAGATAACTCATATAAAAAGCGAGAGGCTCAAAGGGTTATTTACCAGTAAAATAAAAGAGCAATTCATCACACAAGACTAATTTTTAGGGGTTTATTCAACATTCCTGGCATTCAAATGATAATTAACCCAATTACTGACTCCTCGAGCCAATACAGATAACCTCGAGCCAATACTACTGTACTTGAACATGACACAAGATTAATATGAAAACACCCATTTAATAACACTATAATCTAATGTAGTAATATAAATGAGAAAGAATTTAAACTTCATTTTTCTTCTTTAAATTATATTTAAAATTATTTGACTGATAAAATAAAATAAGGTTCATCAATCGCAGGTCAATTATTCTTTCTAGGAATATCCAATCTGACAAAAACTAGAACTGATTATAGAAAAAAATCAAGATGATTCAATTTTTAGTGTTTTTAACATTTGCCTGCAATAGAAAGAACTATATTTGTTATCTTCAAGAAGGTAATTCATGACAACAACAAATGAAGACTCTTCATACAACAAATCATCTACAATAAACTTTAAAAACAGTATCATCTACATGTCACAATATCTTGATTTATCCTGCAGATATAGACTTGATTAATCTATAATGATAAATAAAAAAAATTCATTTGTTTAAAGTTGAAAGTAGCATTTTACCTTATTTTTACCAGATAAACTGTTGACCTAAACACAACTCTATTATTGCATAGGTTTAGCATATTCAATAATTGTTATTAATAGTTAATTTTAATTACAAAATGCATGAGTAAAAAGTTAAGAATCAAAATCTTAACTTAAATCTTTTCCTGAGTTGAAAAATGAAATTAATGATTTCAATTTTTTAAAACAGAAAACCGTAGTAAAGAGTTGTCCATGTGTAGACAGTTCTAATCCACAAGCTACAATTGAAAATAGAGAGGGCAATCCACTAATAGTTATATGTGTACATCCACAGCAATCCACACTGGTAAGTCTTTCCACAAATTTTCCATTTCCATGTTCTTTTGGATAGTTATTTTACAGTATTTATAGGAATGATTTTAAATGCAAAACAGTGTGAGGTTACAAGTTTAATGGTTTTCTTGTGTAATACTTTAATTCCACAAATTTTCTACCTATTAATCATAATGCAAGCCTTTACATTGGTATGATTAGTAAACTGATTAAATATTTATTTATATGAAATATGATTTTCATGAGCAGCAAATTATGGACCTTCTCTGGTTAGACAACATCAACAAAGTAACAAAATAATGAAAATGAATTGCCTCAAAGTCTATAGAGGTTAAGTCTACAAAAATTTATCTGCCAAAATAAGTTGTTTTTGTATATTCTGTCCCTTAATACATTAAAAAGTTGATATTAATTGCATATTTACAATAAAAATGATTTATATGAATAGGCTGTTGAAATGAAAGAATTGTTAGCGGGACACAAATTTGAGGTTTGGTGTTCAACACAGTTATCAATGAACTATCCTGATTCTTTGACAGATCATGGTATGTATTTTCTACTTTCACATAGCTTATGTGTATTTTTTATGTGTATGATTACTCCACATGATACTTTAAACACCTTTTTATAGACAACCCTCTAAATGAAAACAAGTTACTGCAAAAGCATTTGGCAGTGGTGTTTTAATGGGCAACTTGAACCTTAGTACACATGTTCATTAAGATGTTAACATTTTAGTTTATAGGCAAAATTACAATTTTGACCCTGACTTCATAGTTCACTAAACATGGGAATGTGATGGTGCTTGTAAGACGGGGTGTCCTGTTGACATATATTCTTGTTTTTTGGTAATTTCCACAGAGTTTTAGCTAAATAATAAAGAAGATAAAGTAGTTTACATTTGAACCTGAGCACCTGAGATCACCCTTAATAGCTTTCTATGTTGTGTGTTGTGTACTATTGTTTGTCTGTTATTCTTTTTCTTTTTTAGCCATGGCTTTTTCAGTTTTATTTTTGACTTATGAGTTTGAATGTCCCTTTGGTATCTGTTGCCTCTCTTTTAAATTTAAAGATATATCTATCAATGATATCACCATAGAACATGTACAATGTTTCCAAAGATAATTTAGTCGTTTACAATTTTTTAATTTTTTTTAATTCGACTAAGATACAACTAAAACAACATGATATGCAATCCTTATTAATGTTATTGTTTTGTTAACATGCCCTATACACTATGCCATTTGAATTGTCTAAAATAAAACCAGTAAAACACAGAATAATTTGTCAATTATTAAGAAAACTTTTATCAATTTCTAATTTACAGAACAGGGTTTAAAACCAGGAACAATGGAGTTACAAAATAGACAAGTTTTCCAAGAACAAGCTGACGAAGCTGGAGTTATTGTTCTTATTCTGTCTCAACAGTTTATACTGTCTAGAACCTGTCAACAACAGGTAGGCTGTCAATAATTGACAAAGTGTTTATAAATCTGCATGTTCTGATATATGAACTGTATAACGTGGGCAAATAATAGACATGTTTAAACATTTTATTTAAATAAAGGAGGTGCAGAGTATATATAAGTGACACCCAACCACAAAATAAAAACAGACAACATCTAGAGGTGAACCTGCATAATTTGTTATATATATCTTGAAATTTGATAAAGCTTCATGTCAGCAAGCTATACTATGTGATGCATGTTTGCATACATGTTCAACAACTTGCTGTTTACAGAATTCTTATAGCTTTGGTTATCGTAAGTGAGCAACTGCAGTCAGTTAAACTAGATTTTTTACATTAATTTACATTTTTGAGATGTTATTTTTTTGTCCATATTGGTTTTACTCAAGTATTGATGTTTAAATTTGTCTTTTTGTTTTTCTTCTTTTACAGGTATTTTATTGTGAACAAAGGAAGAAACTGGTTCCAGTTTTGTATGGTGATTTTGTGATACCAGGATGGTTGACTGTATTAACAGGTCATCATGTATTAATGGTGGGTACAAGTATAAAATAGACTTATACAATACAAATTATGATTTGACTTAAATGTTGTTTACCATCACTTATAAATGACATTCAAATGGTAAATCTATTTCTCTAATTCTTACACGATTTATCCTTTTCTTGACATGTTGATTATTTTTATTTAATCAACTTGTGTTTTGTTTGATCTCGGTTCTTCATTGGTCAAAATTCGATTATGAGGTCAGGAAAAGGATAAATCGTGTTAGAATTAGAAAAATAAGATGTGTCTGGTGTATTAAATTATAAGCCTTATATATCTGATGACATTTTATAAAAGAAATTCTTGCATAAGAAGTTCCGGTAGATTTATTTCTATACTTTCAACAATTAATTTCATTTTAACAAGAATGATATGGAACCTTTAACTTAGCTACACTGAAAAGAACTTATTCTGAAAGCTCAAAGAACATCTGTTCAGTCAAATCATCTCCGTCCCAACTTTAATTGAATAGTTTATTTAATTTAGTTTGTTTATATTTTCATTGCAGAATACAGACATATACAAAGATCAGCTGATAGGCAGAGTAGAAGAACTATTAATATCTACAGAGTACAACAGAAATTCATCTATAGAGACTTGTGTAAGTTTTTGTGTCTCAAAACTGAGGAAACATATGCCAAATTAAGGTCTATGTATATGTTATCTATTATAGCAAGATAAAAATATGCTAAATGAAAATTTATTCTAACAAGATGGAGGATATACAGATTATTTTTAGGTAAAGATTTCAAAAAAAGTGCAAGTAAATCCCTGAAGAGACTGGTTGGTAAACTTTAACTCAGCCATTTTCTCTACCTGTCATTTGCAAGTACACACAACATATTGTAGTGACATTAACAATCCTGATATCCTTTTTATGCCTGTATCAAGCACAGAGTTATATACATTTGCATATTCAATTTACAAAATGATGGGTATATGATTTACCATTCTTTTCAAGCAAACCATTTGATAAGAATTTACACTAGTTGCAGAAAGTAGTGCACTACATAGAAGAATAAGAATAAGAATATTTATTATTCCAATCAAGAGCCCTTGATGGGCAGCATGACATGTACACACAAAACAATACATTTACTAAATTTTATCATCGGTATAAGGACATCATTCGTAAATATAGCTCAACATGCAGACTTCTTATACGTTCAGGTATTTCACATCCAATTTTTTATGGAAATATTCTTTATAAAGCACAAAAATGTCAGTATTCACCTCTGAAGCTAACAAAACCTTTAAATAGACTTATTAAGAAGGGATATAGTTACGATACTGTTGTCAGGTCATTTAAGATTGCATATTTTGGCGTTAATATTGATTCACTTATAGGGTCTTTGCATCGGCACTAAACACATTTATTTAAAAACCAGTTGTTGGCATGACACGGGTTATGTTCTTCTCATATATGTTATGATGGTATGATACTAAACCCCTAACGGGAAGGATTGTGCCTGATATTCATATGATGAAGACATAATCTTTCAATCAGTTTAATTGAAGTCTGGAGCTGGCATGTCAGTTAACTGCTAGTAGTCTGTTGTTATTTATGTATTATTGTCATTTTGTTTATTTTCTTTGGTTACATCTTCTGACATCAGACTCGGACTTCTCTTGAACTGAATTTTAATGTGCGTATTGTTATGCGTTTACTTTTCTACATTGGCTAGAGGTATAGGGGGAGGGTTGAGATCTCATAAACATGTTTAACCCCGCCGCATTTTTGCGCCTGTCCCAAGTCAGGAGCCTCTAGCCTTTGTCAGTCTTGTATTATTTTTAATTTTAGTTTCTTGTGTACAATTTAGAGTTTAGTATGGCGTTCATTATCACTGAACTAGTATATATATTTGTTTAGGGGCCAGCTGAAGGACGCCTCCGGGTGCGGGAATTTCTCGCTGCATTGAAGACCTGTTGGTGACCTTCTGCTGTTGTCTGTTCTATGGTCGGGTTGTTGTCTCTTTGACACATTCCCCATTTCCATTCTCAATTTTATTGTGATTTATAACAGAAAAACATTTTTTTTTACATTGAAATGGAATATTAAAAGTTCAGATAGATGTTTTCATGATAGAACTACATATATTTCTTCATTTTATATAAGTCACATACATTTTAATTCCAGGCAGGACCAGAATCATAAAATCACTACAATTATCATTGTTATTACATATATTAATTTACATTTCGTCTAACATCTAGACTTTTAATAATATAGTTCCCTAAATATTTAAGGACAGACAAATTTTCATTAGTAAATAACCAAACAAATTTGGCCTCATTTGAGAGATATGAAAAATTAGGACAAATACTGTTTATCTTCTTGAAAAATATCTCCCCATCATCTTTGTATGCTGAACAACTAGTAATAAAATGTTGTTCATCTTCAACCAGATTTAGAGTACATTTCTTACAAAGCCTTTGATCTCTTTCTATATATAAAGTTTTATACCTGTCTCTTTCTATTTTGAGATCATGGGCACTGATTCGGATTTTACATATGGCACTTCTAATTTATTACTTTTTGTATCTGTTCTTTTTGTGTTCCAAAATTTTACAAAACTATTACAAAGTTTTTGCTTAACTGACTTGATAAAAAAGTTAAGCTTTACCTCCAAATTATGAATATTCAGCTTTTAAAAAAGTAATGTATGGATGAATACCAGCATTCAATATTATTAGTAAACATGTTTTTGTTACACATATAGGTATCATACAGTAAACCATCTCACATTTTTTATTCTAAACCAATATTTCAACATTGATAATACAACTGAAAAATATAAAGGGAATCTACCAAGCTCCTCTAGCACAGCTAAGTTAGAAGACTTTTGGTTTACACTTCATATATCTTAAATTGGATTTATCTAAAAAATCATTCATATATATGTGCTGTAATAAATATTCACTCTCTTTCTGGCATGCTGCAGAGCTAGTTTTAAACATACCTGTAATTTCACTGCCATACATTAAAATGGGTTTTATTGTATGGTCATATATATGTATTAGAGTAGAAATACTTGGATTGGAAGATGATAAAGATCTTTGCAATTTGAATACTACATATGAATTTATCCCTTCTACCTACAATTATGGACATAGAGAAATAACTCATCATAATATTGCTTGAATATGTTTTCTTTACTTTATATATAAAGTTTACAATGCTTTTGCAATCTCTTACAATCGTTTTGATTTTTGCATTTCATAAAATTTGAATTTCAGGTTACAGAAATTAAGTCAACTGTATCATCTAGGTTATCTGTGTATATAACTGGTAGTTGTTCCCTCATTACAGACATGACAGAGAAAATTTGTAGGTAAGATATGTCATTTTAAGGATGTACTTAGGTGAGGTTTAGGAATTTGTGTCAGATGTTCAGACTCCTTGGTTTTTTCCTATGATACAGGGTAAAATATTTTGCCCCATAACACCAATTTTTCTCTTCATATAAGACTTCAATAGCTCATAAAAGGTCATTTACCAAAATTTAAGCAGATTCTAGATTTCTTTTCTGTCGATTTGAGACCCAAATAATAACAATGCAGATATAAAGTAAAATTCTGAGTCAGCCTTTTCCCGCCATTTTTAACCAGATTTTCAAAAGAAAAATCAGTTATTGATTTAGGGATGTACGGCGAGCAGGCGGCTGCCAAACAGTGTCCGTTCATTAACATGAAAATGCTTTGACGAAATCTTTTCAAATTTAGATATGTTGTTTCCTGTGACTAAATGAAGGTCAAGTTCAATTTTCATGATTTTAGCTGTTCTCGTTGTTGAGTTGTAGACCTTTTCAGTAGCAAAAGTGCTTATTATATGATTTATTCAGTTTGAGTTATTTCCCTTTGAACAGAAATGGTATAATTAATAAGTATATGAATAAAATTGAACTGTGTTTCATTTCAACATAAATTGAATGTATATAGGGTTCTTCAAATGCTGAATCTAAACCTGTATTTAAAATATTGGATTTTTGGGGCCAGTTTTCAAGTTGGTTCAAATCAGGGTCAAAAATTAAACTTTGTTTGATTTCAACAAAAATTGAATTTATGGGGTTCTTTGAAATGCTGAATCTAACCATGTATTTAGCAATTTGGGATTTTTGGCTCCTTTATCAAATTGGTCCTCATTGAGGTCTGAAGGGTCCTAAATTAAACTTTTGGTTGATTTCATCAAAAATTGAATTCTTGGAGTTTTTTGATATGCTGATTCTAACAATGTACTTAGATTTTGGATATTGGACCATAATGTCCAATTTCAAAATTTTCAGTTCTTTGACCACATTCATTTTGTGTCACAAACCTATGCTGTGTCAAATATTCAATCACAATCCAAATTCAGAGCTGTTTTAAGCTTAAATGTGGTATTCATACTTGCTCAACTGTTCAGAGTTCGATTTCTGCACGAAATCCAGTTTGCTGTCACTCTGACAGCCTCTTGTTTAAAAATCAAATATCTCGAAAAGGAGCTCCATAACCTATCAATATTTTTAGCTTATTTTTTTCCTTAACTAAAGCTCTTCTGACTTATAGCATCAATTTTAAATTTTAGATTTTTATAATTTACCTAAGTACATCCTTAAGACTTAAGATATTTACAAACATAATAAAAAAGTCAGGTTGGATAAGAAAATCTCTGTAAGATTTCATTTGCTCATATTTTGCCAGTGTTTAGATATATAACTTCGACACTAGGTTTAAATATGAGATATTTGCATGAAATTTACTTGCTGACTTTCTGTGCATGATACAAGTTCAGATTTTTTTGTCAATTACTTCATCTTTAATCAACATTTGTTTCACAAGACTTTGCACAAGGACCATGTTTTTTTTTTTAAGCTAAAAATGAAAATCTTTTCCATAAAGAAGATGTAAATACATGAGAATTTCTCTTCTTTTAGTAGAAAATAGCTTCTTGTTGAAATAATTAATTTTGGAGAACCATATTTGATTATCTCCCTTGTTGGTTGATTTCATCATTACTTTTATTAGTCAGCATATTCATACTGAATACTCAGCAACTACAAATCAGATCTTAATTTATGGTACCAAACTTAAAATTGGTAAGCTATACTGTGTTACACATTTTCAGATCCATCACTTATCTACTTCCTGTTTGTCACTTACATGTATTTTCATCACATCGATGCACATATAAATGACAAATTTTCAGATCAGTCACCTATCATCTTCCTGTTTGCTGTACACATATATAGTTAATACATGTTCTTTGTCACTACATTTATGCATAGATAAGAAATTTTCATCCCAGCTACAAATCAGAAATTTCTGAGCCAAAAAGTGTGACACACAATCAAAACAATTACTGCCTGTTTGCACTATGCATGCATGCATGTTCTCCATGTTTATACATATTTAAGAATGTTAGAATTTTTTGTGCTGCATTTTCCTCTGCAACTACAAATCAAAGCTTTTGGTTACCAAACTTCAATTTGGTACAGGGGTTAAACTTTTTTTGTTACAGCTCACTGTCCCAGGAATTATTGGTAGCAGGATTTTACAAGTCCTATTGGAAGAACTGCTAGCCCAGCAAAACAGACCTGCTAGCCTGAGCTTCAAACAAATATTTGAGTCAGCTTGACATTTTCCTTTGATTCAGATTTCAGTCCCGTAAGACTAGTATCAAAGGCAATCATTGTAAAAATGTTGGCATCATAACCACAGGCACTTGTTTCTGTCAATGGGTGGGGGTGGGTGTTTACTATCCACACTTGTATGTGGATAGTTAACCCCCCCCCCCCTTGACAGAAACAAGTGCCTGTGATCATAACAATGATGGACATAAGAGCGATATTAGGCTTTTGATGTTTTGATGTAAACTGTTAAATTGACAGTGCATCAAACTAAATGTTCAACATAAGTATACTAAAATCTGCCTTAGACTCTTTATTAATGCAATATCATGATGTCAGAACTGTACTTTGTTTTTAAAAGCACATTTCCTAATACTGGATGTTGATGTGACAATGATAAAACACGGACCAAAGATGACACGTTAAAATCAAGAACGCTTTCAAAGCACAATTGAGTTTAAATAGATCTTTCCACATGAATTTTTCTTGAAAATACTTGAAATGAACGTTAGATAAAGGTATCAATGATATTATTATCATTTTTGAAGAATTAGGATGCAAAATTAAATCTCACACATGCGCACACGTGTACTAGTTTCAACAACATGGTTATGTGGAATTTTCACTTAAAACTTATTCTTAATTTTTTTAAACTTTATCATTAGAATTCTATTTCAATATGTATTTCTGAAAGACTAAATAATTTTTACTAAAAATATAAGTAACAGGTCATATCAATTAATGCATCATACCCCCAATACTGTTAATTGAAAGTCCTTAGAAATCGATATTGAAAGTACAGGAATTGTAATCAATACATGATACTTGTCCACCCAGTTATTCGTTCGATTTTTACAACGTGTAAAAAATCAGTTCAAATTGTTGGAATCCTGGATGAAGTAACTGAATCTGATTGGCTAGGTTAAAAATAGTGAGGAAGGGATCTTATATTTCTATTTTGGTAACGCCAAGAACTTTTTTTGCTAGTCTGTCAAGCATATTGATGACAAGATTTGATTGCCCGAGGCGTAAATCGCTTAGTCCTGGGTGTCGTGCTAGTGGATTTTTAACCCCTAGTGAATAGATATACAGTGTTACCCATTTTCAAGTCATCTATCTACTCACTGTTTCTGGGATACATGCATGTTCTTTACATTGATAAAAAAAATTAGAACTAGAAATCGTAACTTCTTAAATTTGATAAGCCGAAATCGAGTGCTAATATACTTTCTGTTGTCTTACTTCCACATTTATAGTATTATGCATTTTCTTCCATTGATTAGCAAGAGTGGGGTAAAAATAATTTAGCTAATGCTCAATCTACTTCTTGGTTAAAGCTAAATTCTTTTTGTAATTTCAGGTCAATGGGTAGATGTTTAGCAACTATAGATAATATTGTGATAGGGACAGGAAGTGGATATGGCTTGGAAGACATAGCGGCACAGTCTTTCTATCAGGAATCACAAAGAATGTGGAAAACTAACAATAAAGTTCTTCATATACACACACAAAATCAGGTACAGTGGCCATATTATGTTAAATGATAAATGGTAAAACTCAACACAAAAGAACAATGCTTATATTGGTTCTTTTTACTCTTAATCTCACGATGAGACCTTCATTATGGAGAAAAAAGTTATACTTGACTGAAAGTTCAAAAATAGTTATAACACAGTTTTTAGAGGAATTCTTTTTCTAGATGTTGATAGGGTAAAAATATATGATATATCTTAAAGCAGCCTTTTATATATTATATAATTAATAACTATATTATCAATCTCAAGTTCAGTAGGAAAGCAAATCTAAACTTTAACTTTCTATTTATTTAGTTGTATTTAAACATACATTTTCTTGTACATGACAAATTACACAAATTGATTACTGTGGAATTAATTTCTTTTCTGGAGTGCCAATTTCTTGGATTGAGGAAAAATTGTGTATTTGTGTGGTGCATTATGTTTGTGCACATTGCCTTTACATTTGCATGCAAAAATCATTACGTTTGCACGCAGCTTTTGATTACATTTGCATGCATTCTTTTACATGTAAACTCAGGTAAATTCAGGTAGATTATGCTTATTTATTTATTTAACTATTATTTTTGAGCAGGATAATTCTGTTTTATTGTGGATTGTATGGGATTTCTCATGATCACTGTGTATTTTTTTTAAAACTCAATATGAAAAATATAAAATTTGAAGTAACAAATAGAACCTGTTCAAAATTCATATTAGCTATAATCATATTTATTATGAATTATCTTTGTTTTACCTGTGATACCTGTAAAATGAATGCGCTCAAATGTAATCAAAAGCTGCACGCAAACTTAAACAATTTTAATCCCCTAATGCGCGCAAATGTAATGCGCCCATTTTGTGGATATTAGATTTTGTGGTTTTGCCAAAGTCTGCATACAGGAAATTTATCCTTCGTTGATAATTTAAATGGTGGTTGAGGTATATCCATGATGTTTACCAAAATTGGTATCCCATTAATAACAATGAAACCACAATACATAACTCTTAGGGGATGTTCATTACATCATCTGTGCCCAGTTTAACACAAGCATTCTCCTGAACTTGTATCTTCAGAATATTATTGATCACACATTCTTGTGTGGCAGAGATTTTGTTAATTTTAACAACACAATGATAGTTTTGTTTTAGCAGTCAGAGTTGAAAAACTATGGCATGACAACTCAAGTTAGACATGAAGACTTTGCTGTCATTGTGGCTAGTGTGTTCGATATATGCATCGTAATCAGAGGTATAAGTACATTTATGTCTTTCTTACTAATTTTAATATATAGTTCTATTTGGTCATCTGTTTATAAAGGTGTAAAAGGCATAGAACCACTAATTCGTGCCCGGTCAGAAAGAACATACAAGAAAGTAGTACAAAATAGTTCCTACGCATAGCTGTATCTTTGTCAATAGATGAACTTTTTGGGTAGTTTTGGTATCAAATGAAATCTCTGGGACTTGGGATCACTGCAGAACCCTTGTTGAAAGTTTCTTTTGAAAAATAAAAAAAATATATATAATTATAATAGGAGGGCACATTTACCCTGTTGTTCAGATCAGAAGTACCTGTTTTTAGTACTATCAAACCATTACGCTCTAATATGCAATTAAAGGTATGTTGATTTTTTCAGCACAAGTCAGGATAAGGTATACTGTAAATTCAGAAATTATTGCGATGTTTTTATTATTGCGAAAAATGCGACAGGGTTATAATCGCAATAATTTGAACTCGCATTTTGAAATAATTTATATGAATTAAAAAGAATTTTTCTCAATATCGCAAAAATTAAAATCGCATTTTAGTCAAAAATGACAAAATCGCAATAATAAATGCACGCAATAATTTCTGAATTTACAGTAGTTTTGACATGGAATGACTGCCACTTTATTTAAACCCAAGACAAAGTAGCCATTAATGCTTGAAATTGCAGAATTTAACATAGAAAGCAATGGGGCTATGAATTAGTGGTTTTATACCTAAAATGCTTGTGCTTACAGAAAGAGGCATACATTAAAATCCTGCTACAGTATTGTTATACACACTTACTTCACAGGACCAAAATTGCATCAAGTACCCAAATTGCATCCATTTAGGAAAAATAGCAGCAGAAAGCTTACAAGTTTTCTTAAAGACTTAACAATTTATACTAATGATGTATATATCAATTTTCTGCTTAACCTGGAACCTTAGCTATATAACAGTCAATGTTTCCCAGGAATTTTGATGATTCAAAAGGAATACTTAATGATGGGCTTTACTGTTGTTAGGTTGGATACCAAAAACTCAAATGAGAAAACTGAACATGGAAATGGTTGTGTATTCTAATTCTGATATCAAATTGTATTTCCATTTCTTTGTCAAACAAACAAGAGAAGACAAATTTCTTAAATATTTTCTTGTATTTTTTCTTTCTGCAGGTAACTTAGAAATTTCACACTTGATTGACAGCTTCATATGGAATGAAAAATTGGTTATTCCAGTCTTGTGTCAAGATCTCACACAAATATCAAAGGTAGATGTAAATTTTGTTATTTTTGTTCAAGTTTGTTTGAAATAGGCAAATTCCACTAGTTTTTATTAGACATGAATAGAAAAAAAAGACTGAGACAATGGAAAAATACTAGATTTTTTAGTGTTATCCTTTTCATTATTGTGCAGCAACAATTTGAAACAATGAAAACTAGCTGCTGTCAGAATCATTAATGGTTTTGGCTGTGTCATCTTATTTCTGTTCATTTTTGTATTTTCTTCTCTTCTGCTTACATAAAAATAAGCAAAACTTAAGAAACTTTCCCTTTTTGTCCATTAATGTTCGTCTCCATTTTTTTATTTATTACATTTAACCTATGTATTTTCTGTATTGAAACAACTTCAGGGATAGCATGTATCAGTATCAACTTCTACAATAACCAAAACTTGATGCAATGAAACAAAACTTAACCATATACTATGTAATGCACTCCTCAAAGACTGTGTCTTTCATTGTATTCAAATGTTGTTGAGAGATTTGAAAGATGAATGTTTCATTTTATTAATTAATTTTTTTGGGGAGGTGGGAGGGGGTATAGTTTTAAAAGGTAGATTCATGGTATACCGCCATCTTGGATTGTACAATAGCAGTACACAATCGGTCAAGTTCTTTGCCTAAATCTGCAAGGTTTGAGACAGATTTGCTATTAAAGTGTAAGAATGTTAATTTTTATACAGAAAAATAAGTGATTTATTGCATAATCCAAAATGTTTAAACAAAACCAAATTTTTGTGTTTTTAGAATCAATTTTTCAACTATGCCATCTAAGGGGATATAACTCTGATAGTAAAAATTTTATACTGAAATGATAGTGAAAGGTGCCATTCCTCTTTTCTTTTTTTTTATTGTCAATGCAAGTACATACTTTTAATAAGACTGAATGTTGCCCTCTAGATGTCTTGTTTTTCTGTGTCATTGTTCTACCGTCTTGCTCAGATTCCATTTATTCACTTTTAATACCATAACTATAAAGTAACAGGTGCTAGCCCTCCAGATTTATATTTGTAAATATATCTGCTTTGTCTGCTTATATTAAAAGTTTGTTGCTTTAACTTTGCTGAAAGTTTTATGTCAATTTGTGACTTAAAACAGCTCTTTGTTTCAAAACACTATTTGCATTGAATTTCACTATTGTTGAACAAATCTGATGAATTAAACCCCAAAACAAGAAATTTTAAACCTTAAACTTAAAAGTATATAATATTTGTCTCTGATGACTTGTGTGATGAACAATTGCAATTTTCTCATTTTTTCTACTGAAAAGCTGCAAGCAGCATATTAATTTGAATCGCATGTAATAAAATAAAAAATAGTTCTCTTGTAATGCAAATTGTATTTATAGAATTGATTTTTTACATTAAATTTAACAAATAATTTGATTTTTTTTCTTTCAGAAACCTCAAAACATAAGTGAAAATGATTGGTCCATATTATCCAGTGCCATGGCAACACCAGAACAAATTGGACAGACAGTAAAAGCTGTAATTTTACAGAATTCCACAGAAAGACTTTCAGAACAAATTAGCAGCATCAATGTACTCACTTCGAGCCCTAATACAGCATTAAGGAAAATGACAACAGTATTACTCCCTGAAAAGATCTAACATATTTGATTTTTAAATAAGAATGTGATGACTTGTAAACCTAATTTATGATTTGAAATAATTTAAGTTTTAATAGTAGATTGGATTTGTACTGTTTACACTATTACAGAAATTGAAGAGGTCAATAATTTGTATGAATTAAGCATGGTATTTATTTGATAATTGATAAACAAGATTTGATTAGATAGTATATATGGAAAGTATATGTTAAGTCAGGGAATTTTAATACACTTTGTTAGTTTACAAGTCATGATATTTTAGCCAGTGATAGCTGGCCCTATGTTGACATATCACTTTCGATTTTAAGATGTAACAGAATTATGAATTGAATGCATGTGTCAAGCAAATGATAAAATCATTGATGTGTAAATGACTTGAAGATAGCGTAAAACACAATTTGAATTTTCTACATGTACATGTACATGTATGTCCAACTTTTCACATGAAATTTGCCCTAAGCAACCAAATGAAACTTTTCCACATAGTCATCTATTGGTCAATCTATTTAAAATTTTGTCAGTTCTATTGTCCCATTAAATAAATACAATAGCTATTGTTCTATGTGTAGTTTATTCACTGGGACCTTTACATTTCTTCTAAGAGAAATCCATCACTCTTTGATTAATTCACCTGAGAAAAAAATTGTCTTCTAAATAGATTAAAAGTACATGTTTCAACTCACAAAACTGCATGTGATGTTGTTTCAATATCAATAATATATTTTATTCAGAAAATAACAAAGTTATCAATATCATGCCTTAATTACTAGAAGGGTATATTTATGAACAAGTTTATAAGAACCTCAACATTTTTTTTTAAGTTATGCCCTTGAACAGATAATATATGTACATTGCATTGGAACACTGTTCTTTAATAAATTGAAAGTAACTCTGGAATTTTTTCCAGAGGAATAATGACAAAACTGACCTAAACTTCATCCATTTTTATTTTTTTTTTGCAAATTATACACTGTGATACAATTTGATGTGTTGAAAGTCTTGAATCTTGATACTCAATGATAGTATTACCAGATAAAATCAGCCAATACATTCAATGAGTTTAGTCAATATCAGAAGAGGCCATAAAAGTAACCCTTATATTTTCAAGAATCAAAAATGTATAATTTATAAAATGCAAGTTGTGTTTAATTATTTGTACTACATTATTATATCTACTAACATGCATAAAACACTTCATTAAATCTAAAGCAAAGGGAAAGGGAATTTTGGATATGTAATATACATAAATCTTTGTTAAGAGGTAAATAAGTAAGAACTAATGTTAAAATTTTTCAAATAAAGTATTTGAATTCTTAAAGATAAGTTGAAATACTGAAGAGCATTTTACTTTCAAGCATTCATTTATTGACCATTTTCTAACTAGTCAATATTACCTTTGATGTGTTCATTTAACATTCCAAATATTGCATGTGTTTTTATTTCATTTGTATCAAAAAGAAATATATCAGTGTTGCCTTTTCTTTTATTTGCAGGTCACTTTTTTTTTTTTATTAAGTATATTAATATGTATTGATATGATAAATATTTTGATGAAAGCTTTTATGTGAACTGAATGTTTCATGATGATGTATAATAATCAAATACTGTTAATTTAGAAGTTAATACTACTCTAATTTTTATCAGAGTGGAAAAATTATAACTAGACGGATATGGAATACTAGTAATTAAAACTCATATCTTAATTTTATTATAATATTCTTCAACATGTTTAGTAACCCTAGTTATTAATCTTGTGTTATCATTAAAATTTTACAATGAAAATAAAAAATTAAATTATGTATTTACAGAAGATATTTCTATATTTTTCCAACAGACTATGTCAGCTGTCTCTTTTAGTACTTTTGGAAAATAAAAGATTTATGCCTAATTTTTCAATAAGGGAATTGGTGCAAATGAAATTCGATTTGTACATATCAAAGATTTGTGAAGACAAATGAAATGCTAGTTGATGTAAATAAGGAACAGTTTTCATGTTGTTTTGGAAACCAGGACTTTCAATCTGGAAACTCGTGTTTACATATAGATCTAGGATTTAATGCTGTTATATAAATCTGAATGTAATATTTCATACATTTGAAATAATTCTCAGCTTTTTATTCAAGATTTGATCTGAATTTAGATGAGTATTTTGACACTGTTATAAACTGCTTATAGGTATAGAACCACTAATTGAGGCCGGTCAGAAGGAGCATACAAGAAAGTAGTACATACTTTAAACAAAATAGTTCCTACGCATAGCTTTAACTTTGTTAATAAGTAAAATATTTGGGTAATTTTGGTAACTTGGGATCACTATAGAAACTTTGTTGAAATTTTTTTTGAATGATAAATAAAATTAATGAAATTATAATAACCAGGTACATTTACCTTGTTGTTCAGATTAGAAGTACCTGTTTGTGTACTACCAAACTTCTGGGAACCAGTGCGATCTAATGTGCAATTAAAGGCAGGAAAAGAAACAGTTTTGACATGAAAGGACTGCCACTTTATTTGAACTTAAGACAAAGTAGCCATTAATGCTTGAAATTGCAGAATTTAACATAGAAAGCAACAAGGCTTTGAATTGATGGTTTTATTTCTTTAGGTTATTTGCTTTCAAATTATTTATAATTAAAACTCTTTTCAAAAAAAATCACACTAAAACCAAGTCTTTAATTAAGACAAGAAGTGGTATGATGTTGTAGATATTTGAAGGTAAATAATCATCCATTTTTGTCCAAAGATGTTAAAAAACCTTTTATTGATTTGGTTTGACTGATATAAACAGTCTTCTTCACAACTTTCTGTTAAGCTGATTTGAAATTTATTAAATGTATCAAATTTTAAGTGTACTGTGAAAGACATGTATTAATATTATTACTTAAGATATGTTGCTGTTTTGTTATCTTTGATCTTTTAGGAAACTTTAAATTCTACAACTTGTTATATGATGAAGATTTATACATTAATATATATATACATATTCTTATTTATGTTCCTTTATTGTTTTCTTTTTTGGAATACTTTATCAGTAAGTTGTTAAATGGAATATCTTTTATTAATTTATTCACCTTGTAATATGTATTTTATATGCTTATATGGAAGTCTCTGCTTTTTATAAATTCTATATATTTTTGTGGTTGTTGTTTTTATCTGCCTTCAACAGACATATCGTAATGCTTTTATCATGTGGCTTTTATCTTTTGATTGTCCACATGTCTAATTTTTTGTTGATAATTCTAACTTGAATTGTCAAAATTGAATCAAAACTTACTAATATTAATCCTAAAATGTCATTTAAGGATTTACAACAGTAAGGTCCACTTCAGTCTGATTACCATTCTCAGGAAGAAGGTCAATGTATGACAAGCATTTTTTTATGTTACATGATTAATGTACGGTAGCAACACATTGTTTACATTCAAGCACATAAGATATCTGGCCCTGATGATTTCCTTATGACTACTACTTAAAAGCTGAAACACTACTGAAGGTCTTGGTGTATTTGAATTTTCCTGATAATATTTTCTAAGTTTATGCTTAGACCCCAAGAGTTCTGTACATCCAAATTTGTGAATAATAGCCTATTCCTTACTATGGTTTATGCTTATTTTATGAAGGGTAGCTATGTCAATTATAGTAATGTAGTTCTTATTCTAATATTATTCTATGTTGTGTGTTTGTATACTGTTATTTGTCTTTTGGTCTTTTTCTTTTTGCCATGGTGTTGTCAGTTCATTTTCAACTAATGAGTGTGAATGTCCCTTTGTTATGTTTTGTCTCTCTTTTAATGTATTGTTTCAATTCTGGTATCAAATCAATATCACATGAACCTTTGTTTAAAAGTCTTCAAAATTGATGAACAAGCAGTTAGCAGATTGAGATTTACATATCAATTCATTTAATATTTTGAAAGCTTTTAGGATTACCTTGAGAAGATAGACCTATAACAATAAAGAATGATTGAAATACTTTATAAATGTGCTATTTGAAACTTATTCAGAGATTACAATAATAGTTGTGCATTGGAATCAATATTGTTCAGGTGAAACAGCTCTGGTTGATTTTACCAAAGAAATTTTTAAAACAGGAATAAAAGGAGATGTTGACTTTATACAACAAAACAGCAACTTGAAGCTTCAAATAAGTTAAATAAGTGTAGTGGACAAGGAATAGAACTCTTAAACGTACACACCAAGTCTAAATAAAATAATCAATAGTAAACAGGTCTGCCATCAACACCAAATTCTTTAAATATGTCTGAATAAATCTCACTCACCCCCTTTTTAGCTCACCTGGCCCGTCGTCCGTCGTCATTAACTTTCATAAAAATCTTCTCTGAAACTATTGGGCCAAATTTAACCAAACTTTGCCACAATCATCATTGATGTATCTAGTTTAAAAAATGTGTCCAATGATCCTTCCTGCCAACAAAGATGGCCGACGGCTAAAAATAGAACATAGGGGTAAAATGCAAGTTTGGTCTACTATTTTGAAAACCATTATAAATAGAGAAAATCTGACGGGCAAAAAATGTTCAGATTGTTGAGCTCTACCATTTATTCATATACATCAAAACTGTCAGACAACTTTTTATAGGAGTTATTGCCCTTAAATGACAAATTTTATCATTTTTTTTCATTGCATCTTGAAAACTATAATAGATAGAGAGAAACTCTTAATTGCAAAAGTAATCAGCAAGACTAGTTCTACAAATAAGTCTGCATGGTTGAAATTGTCAGTCGACTCCTCATAAGGGTTATTGCCCTTTGATGATGATTTTTACCAATTTTTTGCGTTTTTGCCTTATATCTTAAACAAATTTTAATAGATAGATAGAAACTTAAATAAGCAAAAGTGATCAGCAAGACAAGATCTACAATTACGACAATATAAAGGAAATTGTATGACCGACTCCTTATTGGGAGTTATTGCCCTTTAATGGTTTGTTTTTTTTGCCTTATATCATGAACTTATAAAAGAAAAACAGACACTTTAAATCAGCAAGGCCAGATCTACTAACAAGTCAAAACTAGCCTATATAGTTAGCAGAATATCACTCTTTTATATAGGAGTGATTGCCCTTAAATGAGGATTTATTTTACCCTCTTTTGTGTTTTGAGCAAAAACTAAAGAAGATAGAGAGACTAAATGATCAGCAATACAAAGTCAACAAAACAGATTTTTGTCATGAATTATATTCTTGTCTACAATGTTGAGAGTGTCCTTTGTTGAATGTGTACATAGACCAAGGTGAGCGACACAGGCTCTTTAAAGCCTCTAGTTATTCAAATCATTGCACTAACAATGAAGGAATATTTAATAGAAATCTGTACAGGAAAAAAACTACTAAGAAATATAGTAAAATGCATAAAATATCCAATCTGATTAAACTGCATATCTATTGTGACTCACTCATCCAAAATATAAGCATAGCTAATTCACATTTATATTATTTTGATAAGATTAAGATAGAGGACACAAACAGAAAATTTTTTAACCAAAATTAAAACAATGGTTTGCTGATTCAAATGAATGCTGTCCTACACTCTAATATCGGTTGTTGCAACGACACAACCTGTATAAGCCAACATGATCTTGTGTTGTGTACAGAAAACATTTTAGTCTTGCTTCAAACTATTATTCAGTAAATCAAAATTCTATTCATCTAAAAAACATAGACATACTGTCTGAACTTTTCCACTTTCGGAAATACATTAACACTCTGATTGCCGTTAGGACTAGCCTTAAGTTAAGTTAAGTTAAGATTTAGTAGTCATAATATGTCACTGTGCGAGTCCTATTTTTACCTATGCCTTTATTTATACAATCTACAATACAAACATGTTGTTCATTGGTTGTCGTTTGTTGATGTGGTTCATAAGTGTTTCTCGCTTTTTATATAGATTAGACCGTTGGTTTTCCTGTTTGAATGGTTTTACACTAGTCTTTTTGGGGCCCTTTATAGCTTGATGTTCGTTGTGAGCCAAGGCTCTGTGTTGAAGACCGTACTTTGACCTATAATGGTTTACTTTTTACAAATTGTGACTTGGATGGTGAATTGTCTCATTGGCACTCATACCACATCTTATATCTATTAAACTAGAAAGAAAGCATGTACTTGCTGAATGAATTAATGCAGCATTAGTTATCGATGTTCAAATCTCATTACTCAATGGAGAAGAAAAATCAAACTATCACCAGCAAACAAGAGGCTCCTAAGAACAGACAGTCCTATTGTAACAAATAAAACAGAATAAAGAATTTCATGTGCAGAAGGAAAAAATTTTTTTTTTCATGCTCACCCTAACCTTGGACGTTTTAGTACAGACAAATTGTCATTTGCTGCCGAAAATGTTAAACAAAGTAGTATTGATGCTATCATTGCAAACTAAGATGTTATGCTACTTAATTCATGAAATATTTTAAGTGTTATCTTTTAAATTTTCTACAACTTAAAATGTACTTTGATAATCAAAATCTTTATTGATGTGTGTTTAAAGAAAATTTACAAACATAGCATCTATTCTAAAATTACAGTATATCTATTAATTTTTGTCATGCTAACAGAATATTAAGAAATGTATTCAACTTGCCAAAAATGTAACACCTTGTAAATATCAATTTACAATCCATGTATATAAACGATATTTCCTACAAGGTTAACAAACTTTCGGAATGCACATTTTAGACATCAAGATGATTCTCTATACGGCCATATCGCTGATTTTCTTTACAGGAAACAATTTTGCAGAAACAACACCAGGAAAGGACTGCGCATCTGGTATACTATTTTGTTTTATTTCATACTGCTTTAGTTATTTCTTAATAATTAGTTGAAACGATAACATAAGATACTAACAAGACAATAACTCTCGAAGCATTTTTTGCCTGAATTTGTTAACTGGTGAGCAATATGAAATTTCTCCTATTTTTTATCAATAAAGTTTAAATGAAGGCGTGGATGAAATTTATTTTAACTTCCCTTAAGTTTTAATATTTTGTCTCGTCACGGTTTCAGTTCTAAACTCCTTTTTCCCGGTTATTTTCTCGGTGTTACTTCGTCGGTTGTTATTAAGTATCGATATGCGCCGTTTAATATATAAGACATATAATTTAGAGAAAAATGACTAATACCAATGATACCATTTACTTGTATGAAAAACTATCAAATAAATTATTTCGTGAAATTTATTTCTGTTGTAGCGGTTACATTTTATGGTGAAACAGCTAATAAAGTCGTTGGGTTACTGTCTGACAATTGTGCATGCAAAACAGTCAAAGAAAACCCACCAAAGAAAATAGTAGACGAAGATGAGGATGATGATGAACCCCAATACTCATGCACAGGTATGAAAGCCATCTATATAATTTATTGCAAAATAACTGTGGTAGTAAACATGACTGTATTTGTTCCTCATTTAGTGTTTATGTCGAATTAACACCAATATCCTATATATATAGACATAAACATTAATGCCAATTCCTTAGACAGTAAGTACATAACGGTTTACATCAAGATTGTAATATTGACCGTTTGTTTAGTGATATTGAATTACAAGACATCAAGTCAATGATTTATTTCGCTATACTTTATGCATCAAATAATCTAGGGGCAAAAAGTAACTTGTTTTAATAGTAAAAACGTATATATATATTTCAGTAACAAGACCAAGTGACTGTAGTGACCTGGACAAATCAACTTGTAAAAGTGGAATTTACAAGATCTTCCCTGACAAAACGTCCGGTTTCAAGGTTTTCTGTGAAATGAAGAAACATGACGGGGGTTGGACTGTAAGTTTGAAGGGAATACTAGATGCTAGATGAAAAAATCAAAAAGATGTGTTTATGCATTTATTTTATTAATAAATAAATTATTTTGAAAAATTGTAAGAACGTTTACCCTGAAATATTGTATATTAACAACGAGTCAATTTATCTCCAAGAGAGGAATTTTGCATTCAGCGCAAATGCTATTTATATTTGTATTGTTTATTTCTGAAAAAAAAAACATTTTTGATTCTTGTTTATGATTATTTAGTATCATCATTATTTTTAACCTCGTCATTATTAATTATTTCAATCAATAATATGATTTTCGTTTTTTTAATTATTATTATCATTGTTATAATTATTTTTATCATTTGCCATGTTCATTAACAATCTAAGACTTGTTGTATTTCAGTATTTGAAAAATATCACATTTTCCATTGGGTTGCTATATTTCAAATGGCTGTACGTCTTTATGTACATATTTGATATTTGTTCAGTGTTATTTTCAGGTTTTTCAACGTAGAATGACCGGAAAGACTAATTTCTATAGAGACTGGGGCACTTATAAACCGGGATTTGGTAACCAGAATAAAGAATTTTGGTTGGGTAATAAACACTTTTCGCATATTTTTTAAGCAATAATTGCGTTCATCCGCTTTATAGTTATGTGATCATTATTTGATACAGGTTTGTTTTAACTTGTGATTTTGTAATTTATTTTGACCGGTATTATTGAGTTAAGTGCTATTCTGTACTGACTTCATCGTACGTTTTTAATGTAGCTTCTTAATTTCACTGATAAAAAGTACGAAAGGTGTTAACATAGCACGTTTATGTGCCCGTCTTGATCATTTTAAGTTTAAGTTTGAAAGGAATGGGTGCTATCAATGGTTATGTTGACATAGACAGTTACTTAGGGAATGGGGTCTATTTTTAAAGATATCCAACATTGTGCGTAGCGTCAATGCATATGCAAAGTTAATTTGAAATCAAAGCCGGGACTGTTTTCTTTTCAAGCAGACACATTGTCATTGATTTACATACAGTTTCGTAGTTGGGTGACAAATGGAATTTTCAGTTTTTAATATGGGTTTACGGTCAGCAGCTCACATAGGTAAGCTTGTGACAGACACTTGCCTCTAAAACGAATTACCTAAATACTTTAATATAACACATTATATTGACGATGCCTAGCTATTTTACTGTTGCAATACAGCAGAATGTGAAGAACATAAGACGAGGGATAATAATAAGAAGAAAAAACGACTCTCAGACTATAAAAGCAATTATTTGTGCATGTTAACATATTTAGTTTCTGAATACACAAAAATCACGGTATAATTTAAAGGAGATCTAAAGTATACATAAATGATTAAGACAATATATATTTGAAAATAATGAAAAAAGTAAGAAACAATTTTAAACTTCTTATATAAACATAAGGAGATGTGGTATGATTGCCAATGAGACAACTATCCACCAAAGTTCAAACGAAGTGGATGTAAGCAATTACAGGCAACAATACGGCCTTCAATAAGGAGAAAAACCTATACCGTATGGTCAGCTATAAAAGGCCCCGACATGAAAAATATAAAACAATTCAATACAGAAAACTAACAGCCTAATTTATAACAAAACAATTTACGAAAAACTAATATGACAGATATGAACCAATGACAACCACTGAACTACAGGCTCCTGACATGGGACAGGCACATACAGAATGTGACGGGATTAAACATGGTTGTGAGAGCTGAACCCCTAACCTGGGACAGTGGTGTAACAATATAACATGAGAACAAACTATATAAAAAGTTGAAAAAGGCTTAACTCATCAGATGGATACAAATAGAAATACATCCAACAAAAACACAGAGTGGATGTGGACGGGTCACATCCCCACCAAAAATACACTGAGTACAGATCTGAGAGTATTCGCAGTTACTGACAGCTACTTCAAAGCCAATAACAACTAATAAAAAAAAATCATGTATCTGAAACTTAAATATCAATCAGTACACATCCAACATCCAATGGATTTAGTGTAAAGACGTCATTAACAGTCAGAGAAAAACATGACCTTGTGCAATGAAACACTATAGGTATCGATAGATTGTAGTACCGTGAAAGTAAATAAGTGTAATGTTTAGTATGGTTTTAATTTACTGATAACAAAATCAATATTTACACCAATAAAACAATATTCAAAAATTAATGACAGCGTTGAATAGGTAACCTTTTAGAATAAATTTATTTAAAGGACTGATAAGTTCGTATCCAAATTTCGGGTTCGGTTTGCAACATCACCGTAAAACCGTGCTATTCCGTTTGAAATAAGTTTTCTACAGGGACAGCTAAACTTCCAGACCCGATGAAATCTTTGTAGTATCTATGAAAGAATTAAGTAAAGGTTTTAAGTAATTAGTTGTAACGAAATCCCTGACTTAATAATTTACTAGTAATACATAGATTACGCTCATCGAAATCCAAAACGACACTACAGACACGAGCATAGCGAACGAGTTGGGATATGTTAACACCGTAAGACGGTGCCAAAGGAACATCAAGGTCCAAAAAAAGGGAAAATTAACAATATGGAAAGAAAAAATATCCCGTTTGTCGTAAATTTTTGTGTAGAGTTTCTATTGTTATACTGAAATATCTAACTAAGGAAAGGACAGTTATTGCTGTTAATATTTGATTTATTAAAAGTAAGTTCCTTTGGGTAAATTTCAGCAGTATATTAAGAGAATTTTTGATTATTTGACGAAAAAATATCATCAAGATAACGGTAAGTGTTATTGAATTTATTTCAATGGAATTTAGACGGTTCTTTGCTGAGTTTGGCCATAAACTGTGATTCATAACAGTAAAGGAACCAGTCTGCTATTAAAGGGGCACAATTGTTGCCCATAGGATTACCTACAACCTGTCGATAAACTTTATTGCCGAAACGTTCAAAAATGTTGTCAAGGAGAAAAAATAGTGCTTTAATCATCTTTTCTCACATCCATGAAGTATATCTAGCATATTTACCTTTCTCATTACAGAAAAAGGCTTTATATGAGTTGCAGCGATTAAATTTGCAACCGGATTTATCAGACGGCCAGTTAATTAGATAGGAAAACTTTTGTTTGACAAGATAGTGTGAAAGTGTAGTACAAAGAGGGGGAAGTCAAAACTGTCAACCGAATCAAAAGGACCATCAAAAGCACGTTATTTGTCTTAAACATCCACAGATTTTTTACACTTCAAAAATGGTTATTTCCACTGTTTTCATATGTTTTATTACAAAAATTAACGATAAGTTCTTTGATAGTAGTTAAGGAACTGGTTAAAAGCACCGAAAGATTAGTAGTAAAACGCTTACTAGAGGCCGAGGTGAAACGATATTTTACGGGTTTTTTTGTATAGTTAGTGGTGACCTTCAAATGTTTAGAGGAGGCCTTAAGCTGAGATGTGGTAGTGACTTTATTATTTACTATATAACTTGTTTTTGAGATTTAAAAAAAAAAATAATTGACCATTTATACTAAACATGCTACACGAAAAAGAGAAAGAAAATAAATAATACTGTTAGCATTGAATAATTTTAAAATGGATGTTTTCTAGAGGAATTCAAAATTATGTATACATGTACACATACAAACACCATGATAATTAAACAGAAAGACATCTACAAAATGTACATGTCAACATATAAACGCTCTCCCACAAAAGAATTCAGCATTTTTAGCTTTAAAGGGTACGTACGATAAAGGCCTTATTTTTTACTCAATATCAAGTCCATCATGCGACAAAGTAAAATAGAACGTATTTTTTTCTAACGCTGCGAAATACATGAAAAAGGCATCAAAACAGACTTTGATAAAGTTTTCCAAATCTTATGGATTTCAACGAAATTTATGCTTGGATGGTATAAGGCGCTGTATTCGACAAACTAACTATTTAAGTCAAATATTTTATTTATCATAACATGTATTATAAGCATAATGTTGCAAGATCCTTTTGCCGACGTGTGCGCTAGCTATGTTCCCAGTTTTGAAAACGAATGGAAATTCGCGGCCTGCTTTCTTTGTGTTTGTTTGTAAATTCGAAAATTGACGCTAACTGTGTCGTCAAAAAATGATATATCATCTAATTTTTTTTTAAATGTGTCATTGTTATAACAACCATCAATCAAAATTTGAATTATAAGCTCGATATACTAGTAATATTTTGGCCTTATCCAACTTACTCTTTTTCCTATAGCCTTAAGGAAAACGCGATGAGTTGATTGATCGGGAATATCGTAACCATGCAGTGACAAGTACATTACATGTGATGTCCTCCTCTATATTTTTGTTACTAGCTTGAAGTATTTTTTCCACTCCATCAGATATGGTCAGTTGATATTTTTGTATATTGCATTTTTCCCATTTTGTTCTTACAGTGACTGATTTAGGTTTGTTGGATTTCCAAACTAGTTTTCTTTTGATTGTAGCTATGACAGGTACATGGTCAGATGTGTTTTCTGGTTCCATATCTAAGATCTGTACATATTGTGTTAGTTCTTTACTTGCTGAGAAAAAATAATCAATTTGTCCAGAAGATTTCCCGTTATGATGGAAAAATGTTTATTTCTCTGAGTAATCTCGGTTTAGTTCCAATGAGTTTTCTGCCAAGATATCTTTAATAAAGAATGACAACACAAACTTTATCCAGGGACTTACATTCCTAGTAAGATTATGGCCACGGACTTGATTGCCTAGGAAGAAAAGGCAAGGGATATTGCAGAGTGGAATTGTAAAGTCTGCAAAACCGACGTGCACATTGTTGCATCACTCGTTTGTCATGTTTGTGGTGGCTGCCTAGAGTGGTTTCACCAAAAATGCGTCGGACTGAAACATGCTCCCAAAACAACATACTGGATGTGTAGAAAATGCTATTGTAAATAAAAATTGTATGCAATACTGTAAAATTCAAATAAAAGCTTTCAAGTTTTATTTTAATATACATTACTAGTCCCAGCATACATTGAAGTGCATTAACGTAACAATAACACAACGTAACCGTAGACACAAATATTATTGTTACATTCGTAATTAATCGGTTCCCTTCCCAACCCTACGACCTTGACAAACTTGGAAAATGAGTTTTCATCCAGAAAAATGTAATGTGCTCACCATCACAAGAAAAAGAACCAACTATACACAAATATGTACTCCATGGTCATGAACTACAACATGTGACAGCAGCCAAATATCTAGGTGTTTCTATAACATCACGGATATGAAGTGGAGTGGACACATTACAGCCATCTGTAAGAAAGCAAACAAAACAACGAGCTTCCTCAAAAGAAACCTTAACATTAGAAACCCATCACTAAAAGAAAGAGCATATGAAGCATTAGTAAGACCAATAGTGGAATATGCTGGTACAACTTGTGATCCATATCTGAAGGAGGATATTCATCGGATTGAGATGGTTCAGCGAAGGGCTGCCAGATACGTAGAAAACAGATACCATAACACCTCATCTGTCACAGACATGCTAGAAAAATTAGAATGGACATCATTTCAAGAACGAAGGAAAAAAATCAAGATCAGTACTATTGTACAAAATAGTGAATGGACTAGTCCAAATAGATGCCTCTGATAGACTATTAACAACAACTAGATTTAGTCGAAATATGTATAGTGGTTCATTTCAAGTACCTTGCAGCACAGTAGCTCGGAGGGAATCATTATATCCAAGGACTATACGAAACTGGAATGCCCTACCCACTAATACCGCCATGGCTAAGAGTCTTGAAATATTCAAGACTCAGTTATCTCAGTGATTAATTAATCAGTTGTTTTAATCGCACATTTTGATCTGTACAGCACCGTTTGTCTGTTTTGTTAATATTTTAGAAATTCCTTGTAAAAAAGCGTATGCCCACACCGTAGTTTGACCAAAGTGGCAGAATAATCAGAAATGATACGGCCACCAAACTGCAGAAGCACTGGCTGAGAACCCTATACATTCCGGCAATTAGTCTCCAATGTAACAATATTTTTATTACAGTGCCCAGGAACATATATATAGATATACTGATCCCAGCAGTGCCTTACTGTTATACATGCAAGTCATAAATCAATTTGTTGAAATCAAATATTTAATTGCTAATGGGTGCCGTAGAAGGTCATCGGAGTTTTGAGAGAGGATTTCTTGGCATGGTTTTACGAGGGCAAACTGCCATGTCACTGAGCAGACAGTAAAGGACGGCACAAAAAAAGAAGGGTTTACAAATTGCTCTCGATCATTAAGTACTAATCGAAGCTGGCTTAGGTAGCCATATCTATACACACAAAAAATAACATTTACCCGTTTTCGAGCCATCTGAGTAAACAGTACGTTAGCACTTTGATTTAAACTTCATCTGTGATCGATCGACCTTCAACTTGAACTTACAAGAGTGGACGTCCAATAGCAAACAAGGAGACAGCTGACCAGAAAGACGCAATGATAATTTTCTGTTGATATAATAAATAGTAGGTATTTCTTCTGCTATATTTTAAGAGGAATAGCATTAAATTAAGGAAATGAATAAAGAAAAATTACTTTTTTGGTAGGATTTTAGATTATTGAACATGTTGAAGTGATAACAATGAAAAGGGGGATGATAATCTGGGCTAAATGAATAAATACACGAACTATGCAATATAATTCCATGTGATTGTGGTAATCATAAGTTTGACAGCAGAAATTAATTGATTTTTCTCTAAGATAAAACAAGAATAAGGCATATATTGTATGTTATTATCATTTATGTGAGTACTATCCGTCATGAAATAAAAACAGTTTAAACTGGACATTTTGGGTGGATATGCTGGGCTAGTCTAAACCAGATATTTGCTGTTCAAATTGCTCCAAAGGCTTTACAGGCATGGATTCACGTTTTCTTATATTCATATACTTATGTTTCAATAACATTCCTTTATTTTTTTGGCCTATTTCAGTCTTCACGCTGAGTGGCAGCCCAGGCTTGTAATATTGCTCTCGGGCTTGTAAAAATCATATCTACAAGCCAACAGAATCTAACTAAAAATTTTCAAAAATTGAGCTCCGGGCCTGTAGATTTAGCAGTTCATCGTGAAGACAGCTATTTTCCTTTATTTGATTAAATTGGTCTTGCTATTGATACACATTAATCATGCAAGTTCCTGTAAAATCAGGGGTATTTAAATGCTATGCCGACTAGCGCAGCCCATACCTTTGGACACCGGGTCAAGTAATTTGTCTAGGTTGCCTGTGGACAAGTTAAAAATGACACTTGATAGTATTCAATCTAATAAAAAATATAGAATTATTTTCACAACTTTTTAAGATGTATTATTTTTTGTAAAAGAAACCAATCTTTAACACGTGAAAAACATATATTTAAGTCAAAACATCAATATTCATGACTAGAAATATTATTTTAAACTGGAAATAGATAGATAAATTAACCAGAATGAGGAAAATAAGTATGCGAAGTTGAACCCATGTCTCATAAACATTACATTATCTTTGTTCATTTTCCTGGGATCTGCAATTAGATTTTATTAGCTATCTGATGGAAGTGGCATTTTAATTCTTCTTGAATGAGTTCTTTAGATATCAATAAATACCTGTTAAAAACACCTATATCGTGTAATCAAGACAAAAAAAAATGAAAATGATATTGATGAGTTGAGATATTATTATTGGAAAACTGAGTCAGAGAAGACGGGGAAAATGACAAAGTAGGGAACGGGAATTCTAGAAGTCATGTCTAACAGATTTCCCCTGGCTCTCCAGTGAAGAAACTTAAAAAAAAAAAAAAAAATTGCACAATTTCTAGTGTCACGGAATAGAATTTCCTTCATAATATAAGTTCCAAATGGAAACAATATTCTGGAATATTATTTCCACTGGAATAAATATTACAGTAAATGTTCCTAACGGAATAAATGATATAGAATATTTGTTCCAACAGGAACAGATATTATGACATTGTTTATAACAAAGTTTCCAGTGGAACTTCTGTTAGGCGGAACAAATATACGTTGACACTAGGAAACATCCATGTTTTGCTGACCAAAAGTCTTAACTAATTAATTTGTTAGCAAATTAATATTATTTAGTGTTCATTTCTTCACTGGTTTCATGTACCTACTGGCTAGCATTTTAAAATTTTGCAAATTGCCCTCAGGCACTGTATGTCTTTTGGTTTTTTGTTTTGTTGGGTTGCTGTCTCATTAATGTTTAACCCCATGATTTACACAAAGTTTTGTATTTCCCTACCTTAACGCATTGCGGGGAACATGGAAATACTTGCCAGATTTTTATGAAACTCATATCATAGGTTTATATCAGGAATGTCTTGGACAAGTTTGAAAATCAGTGCTGATCAATTATTTTTAGAAGAGATATGCCCTTGGACATTAATTTTATGGAAAATTGCCTTGTTAGCGCTCTCATGTCTACAATTCATGCCAGAATATTACTAAACTTATATCATAGGTTGATATAAGCAATGTCTTAGACAACGTCACAAGTTAAAAAATCAGTGCTGATCAATAATTTTTAAAAGAGTTGTGCTCCTTGGACACATTAATTTTATGGAAAATTACATCGTTAGCACTCTCATGTGTACAATTCTTGCCAGAAATTTATGAAACTTATATAATAGGTTTAAATAAGCAATGTCTTGGACGAGTTCAAAAATCAGTGCAGATCAGTTATTTTTAAAAGAGTTAAAATTGCCCCTTGGAAACTTTAATTATATTGAAAATTGCATCGTTAGCGCTCTCATTTGTATAATTTTTGCCAGTTTTTTTATGAAACTTATGATAGGTTTAATATTATTAGCAATGTCTTGGATAAGTTTGAAAATCAGTGCCGATCAGTTATTTTATATAGAGTCAGCCCCTTGGAAAAACAAATTATATGGAGAATTGCATTGTTAGCGCTCTCATATGTACAATTCTTGCCAGAATTTTATGAAACTTAAATCACTATGCCCATGGAAATATTGATTAAATGGAAAATTGCCTTATGAGCACTCTAATGTGTACATGTCTTGCCAGATTTTATGAAATTTATATTATAGGTTTATATCATCAACATGATAAAAGTACTTGACGAGCTCAAAATTCAGTGCCAATCAGTTTTTATACAACCGCAAAAAAATTTTTGTGGTCGTATATTGGTATGATGTTGGTGTCGTAGTCGTCGTCGTCGTCTGAAGACACATTGGTTTTCGCACTCTAACTTTAGTTTAAGTGAATGGATCACTATGAAATTTTACCACAAGGTTCAATACCACAAAAGGAAGGTTGGGATTGATTTTGGAGGTTATGGTAACAACAGTTAAGGAATTAGGGGCCAAAAAGGGGCCAAAAATAAGCATTTTTGTAACTTCCAGACATAACTTGTGTGTTAGTATATGGATCTCTCTGACATTGTACCACAAGGTTCCATATCACAAAGGGAATGCTGGGATTGATTTTGGGGGTAATTGCCTCAAAATTTTAGGAATTAGGGGCCAAAAAAGGGGCAAAAAACAAGCATTTTTCTAGTTTCATGACAATAACTTGTGTGTAAGTGTATGGATCTTCTGAAATTGTACTACAAGGTTCCATATCACAAAGGGAAAGCTGGAATTGAGTTTGGGGGTAATTGACCAAAATGTTTAGGAATAAGGGGCCAAAAGGGGGCCAAAAATAAGCATTTTTCTAGTTTCCAGACAATAACTTGTGTTCAAGTGTATGGATCTCTCTGAAATTGTACTGCAAGGTACCATACCACAAATGGAAGGCTGGGATTGATTTTGGGGGTAATTGCCTCAAAATTTTAGGAATTAGGGGCCAAAAAGGGACAAAAAAACAAGCATTTTTCCAGTTTCAGGACAATAACTTGTGTGTAAGTGTATGGATCTTTATGAAATTGTACAACAAGGTTCTATATCACAAAGGGAAAGCTGGGTTTGAGTTTGGGGGTAATTGCCCTAAACGTTTAGGAATTTGGGGCCAAAAAGGGGCAAAAAAACAAGCATTTTTCTGGTTTCCAGAGTCCAGACAATAACTTGTGTTCAAGTGTACGGATCTCTCTGAAATTGTACTGCAAGGCACCATACATTGTAACACAAAGGGAAGGCTGGGTATGAGTTTGGGGGTGATGAATCATTAGGGGGTTCAAAAAATTTAAGGGGGGATTTTTTTCCCCTTTTTTTTCTTTAAAATTTTCCATTTTAAATTGGTTATTTCTGATTTATATATAAAAGCAAATAATAATGATATGGTTTGAATAGGTAAATTAAAAATTTTTAAGTTCTTAGACCACATTCATTCTGTGTCAGAAACCTATGCTGTGTCAAATATTTAATCACAATCCAAATTCAGTACTGTATCAAGCTTGAATGTTGTGTCCATACTTGCCCCAACTGTTCAGGGTTCGACCTCTGCGGTTGTATCAAGCTACGCCCAGCGGAGCATTTTATTTTCAAAAGAGTTATGCCTCTTGAAAATATCAATTATATGGAAAATTGCATTGTTAGCGCTCTCATATGTACAATTCTTGCCAGAATTTTATGAAACTTAAATTGTTATGCCCATGGAAATATTGATTAAATGGAAAATTGCCTTATGAGCGCTCTAATGTGTACATGTCTTGCCAGATTTTATGAAATTTATATTATAGATTTATATCATCAACATGATAAATGTACTTGACTAGCTCAAAATTCAGTGCCAATCAGTTTTTTTATACGACCGCAAAAATTGAAAATTTTTTGGTCGTATATTGGTATGACGTTGGCGTCGTCGTCGTCGTCGTCGTTGTCGTCGTCGTCGTCGTCGTCTGGCGTCGTCCGGCGTCGTCCGAAGACACATTGGTTTTCGCACTCTAACTTTAGTTTAAGTGAATGGATCTCCATGAAATTTTACCATAAGGTTCAATACCACGAAAGGAAGGTGGGGATTGATTTTGGGGGTTATGGTACCAACAGTTAAGGAATTAGGGGCCAAAAAGGGGCCAAAAATAAGCATTTTTGTAACTTCCAGACAATAACTTGTGTGTAAGTGTATGGATCTCTCTGACATTGTACCACAAGGTTCCATATCACAAAGGGAAGGCTGTAATTGATTTTGGGGGTAATTGCCTCAAAATTTTAGGAATTAGGGGCCAAAAAAGGGGCAAAAAACAAGCATTTTTCTAGTTTCATGACAATAACTTGTGTGTAAGTGTTTGGATATTTCTGAAATTGTACTACAAGGTTCCATATCACAAAGGGAAAGCTGGAATTGAGTTTGGGGGTAATTGCCCGAAACGTTTAGGAATTGGGGGCCAAAAAGGGGCCAAAAATAAGCATTTTTCTAGTTTCCAGACAATAACTTGTGTTCAAGTGTATGGATCTCTCTGAAATTGTACTGCAAGGTACCATACCACACAGGGAAGGCTGGGATTGAGTTTGGGGGTGATGAATCATAAGGGGGTTCAAAAAATTTGGGGGGGGGGGATTTTTTTTTTT